TTTAACTTATTACGTTTTTTCAGTGGCCCTAATCCTCTTCCGTAGTATTCACATGGGTATTAATAAAAATGGATATTTATATATATAGCTATTGCACTGGGTGTCAATACGTTCGGCTATCATTTTTATTGGCATTTTGAGTTACCATGGCAATCCCATTGGAATGAATGGGGAGGGTGAGAAAGAAAACAAAAAAATTCACAATTTTTGAGGCTTCACTGTGTGGTCATACGTTCACCTACAAACACAGTGTGAAGCTCTGCTTGTAGATAAATCCTTCATCTTCTCAAAAACTGAAGGTGTTATGTTCATAACTGGTATGATTTTTCTAAAATAGGCCATCAAGCACCACAAAGTTTTAGGGAAAAGCACAGCTCTAGATTGTATTAAATCGCACTACAGAGTGGAGGGGAATGGATTTCTTATAAGAAAAAAAAGATTTTTGCATCACTCTCATAGCCACAAATCCTGCTCTGCAGCCATTATTTTTGTTCGGTTTGTAAACAGAAGCCTCTGATTTCACACAATGTTTTTGTAACTGCATTCAGATATTTGCTTTTTGTTAAAAACCCTTCCAGACCGCCCAAAAGCTCTGCATTTGAGCCAATTTCTACATTAATTGCAGCAAGCACGCAGCAGAAACGCAGGTGTGACTACCGTAACTATTTTTCCAACATCCTACAAAAAGTTTTGATAGACATGCAGATTTAAAATTTGGCTTAATCGAGGAAGAGGGATGGCTGTCACTAACAGAAAAGTCATTTCTTTGAAAACCTTTTAGGGTTCATGCACAGCACAAATTTTTTTAGAGGGGTTTTGTAGAATCTGTCACATCCTCTTAAAATGGATCTCAATATAATCTAACCAGACAAGCAGGTGTGACAAACTATTTTTTTTGATGTTCTGTAACCTCAGTCGACGACAAGAGATAGGTGTCGCTTTCAGTGAAAACTTTTTGAATACCATTCACGGCTTATGTATAGTGCTTTTCGCTGTTTAAATGGTTGTGGAGTTAAAGTCAGTTCGAGCTGTTCTCTATGGGCTAACAGCTCTGCAGCTGATCCTGTACTAAAGCTAAGGTAGGATCTACCTTATTCTAACCCCTGTAGGAGTTTACATCAAGGAAGTTAACACAGTACAGTAGGATTGTAAAATAAAAGCCTCCCATTTTCATTGTCATAAGGTATCTATTAATCTAATAACATGAAAAAAAAAAGAGTAATTTAAGAATTAGAAAATTATTCCTAATTACTGTTGGGTCTGACTCTGCCCATAACACACAACCCTGCTAGGCTTTCAAAATAAGACACGAGAATATTAAATGGATCTCGGGCTCTGACCTTATGGCAAAGACACAACCCTACTAGACTTTCAAAATAAAGGCTTAATATTAAACCGAGCAAATTATTGCAGCATAGGGCTCTTTATTATGACCTAAACTGAACCTGTTTTTTTTTTTTTTTTTTAATTACCCTAAGAAATCCTTTTAGAAACAGACTCTACTGAAGATTTTAAAATGAAAACCACATTTTTTGTTGTAGTAAAGCATCTATCAAACTGATAATAGGGACCGAGTGTGTTTAAAGATAAAAAATGCTTGAAAAAAATTTGGACTGTACCTGCATCACCAAAAGCTATAGCGAAGCCAGTCAGTGTGGGGACCTAAGTTGCCACCAGACTTGGCGACTTGGGTCACAATCAGGTGTGGCCAAGCACGCCACCACCAGGCATGACGGGGCCAGTTGTCATGATGTATGGGGACGCTAGTCACCACAAGGCATTGTGACATAAGTCTCCAGAAGGCTTCACGCTCTTGCCTAATGTGAGCTGAAATCAACTGACCCCATATAGCCTTCAATGCCAGTCCAACAATTATGCACCTAGTGGCAGGTATCTCAAAAATTTGCTCTGGGAATTTTCTAGTTATTTTTAATCTTTTTTTTTTTTCCTGCTTTAACCATTGAGGTCCTAACATACATGTCTAGCTATATGCCTTTTTTGGATTCTGACAGATGACTTATCAAAGCATCAATTTCACTGTATTTACTTTCAAATGAAATCCTCATATAGCATCTTAAAGTTTCTGTTAGATCTTTTTCCCTATCTTTACAGAATTGTTTTAATTACTTAGGCTGTTTAGACCACTTCAAGATTTTTTTCCAGGGGAGGGTTGGTGTGATTATCGACTTTTTGCAAAACCATAGTGCAGCTTATCTCACTGTCATGAACTGATGTCATGAACTGATTACCAAACATTTTCTTTGAAGACTTTCTGTTGGATCATTTAAACTCAATTATTTTTTTTTATATCCCAAAGGGCAATTTAAAGACAGTGTAAAGCAGCAGGAACAACACAAGAATTAAGATGCACTGCAAAAGACATAAAAAAAAAACAAATACAAACAAGGATCTCCATGTGATGAAAAGTTGGTGCAGTAACTGTCTTACAAAAGGAGAATTAAGTGATTAGAATTAGTGGCTCAAATAATTACAGTAAGACTTCCAGGTCCTGAAGTTGCAAATAAACCCCAAACCATCACACTACCACCACCAGGTTCAACTTATACCATTGTTATGAGAAGCTGTGTGAGGTTAGCTGTTCTTAACCTCACACAGCTCCACTTTTGTCTCATCAATCCAAAGAATGTTTTCAAAAACATTTAGGCGATCATTGTGAGGATTTTTTGTTTGTTTTGTGAAATGAACTTCTGTCTTGTTTTCAATCACCAGCACTCCTTAGAAATAGCGTTATAAACATTTCAAAAGTGACTGTTGTCAAACCATGCGTTTCTCACCTGTTTTTGAATTTCTTAAGATCATTTTTGTATCGATGCCTTTTTTTTAAAGATGATTTAGCCAACTTGTTTTCAGACATGGTCTTGCTTAAGGGATTTCTTGATTCTCTCTGTCAGCAGGAATCAGGTTTTCCAATGGCTATGAAATTACGTGTGTAATCATGTTTGACTCTTGATTTAACAAAAGGTGACAGTGAGCTGACTTGAAACAAGCTACACTAACAATTCAATTCAGTTTATTTATATGGCGCCAATTCACAACACTTCATCTCAAGGCACTTTACAGTTCACCAGATCATACAGTCAAATTGATTCAAAGTTTTCAATCTAAGGAAAGCCAGTTGATTGCATTGACTCATTGACCTGGATGCTATCCCTCACACTAAGCATGCTTGTAGTGACAGTGGAGAGGAAAAACTCCCTTTTAACAGGAAGAAACCTCCAGCAGAACCAGGCTCAGTGTGAGCGGCCATCTGCCGAGGCCGACTGGGGTTCAAGGAGACAGAAGCAGAGATACAAAAAGCAGCTGTAAAAGGCGGCCCAGTGCAGGAAACACACAGCCAGGCAGACGAGCTCCGAGCCAGCTCCCATGTTAGAGGATGAAGACAGCTGATATTTCTCTCCAGGGTGGTGTCGCAGCCAAACAGGAACAGATGAGGCGAAGCCACTATGAGAAAAGGCAGAGAGAGCACAACGTTAGAGATTAAACTAGCAGATTCTGTAGAGTGGGAGAATAGAGATAGAATGAGGCAAAATTATGAAATAGGGGTCCCTATGTCCTCCAGCATTCTAAGCCTATAGCAGCATAACTATAGAGATAGCTCAGGATAACCTGAGCCACTCTAACTATAAGCTTTATCAAAAAGGAAAGTTTTAAGCCTAGCCTTAAAAGTAGACAGGGTGTCTGCCTCACGGACTAAAACTGGTAGTTGTTTCCACAGCAGAGGAGCCCGATAAAGATTTTCCTCCCATTCTACTTTTAGAAACACAAGAAACATGTAAAGTGTTTCTCATCTAAAGGAGAGGAGTTGGGTAAACTTTCCTCTGATATCAGAGACTAGTAGATGATGGTTCATCGTTCACTTCCTTATGATAGACTTTTTAGCAGGTTCTATATTTAAATATTGTCAAAATATCTGATTAATACATAAATATATGAAAACACTAGAATAAATCAAAAGTTATGGATGAATTAGAGTTGGGACTACATAATTATTAAACATGAAAGGTGTTGAAGCTTATCCTGATACAAAGGAGCTTCTATTCCAGATGTGTCTGTGTTTAACTGAGACATATTTTCCTCCTTTTTGCAGCATGTGCATGGAAGTCTAGAAGACCCTAAAACTCTCACCCATCATAAACTCATACATGCTGCTACAGAGAGAGTCCTCATCGACACCAAAACCATTGCTGATGAAAACCTTAAAGACAAAGGTATGCAGTGTTTTTTTGTTTTGTTTTTTCAACAAATGTGTTGCTAGAATTTCTGTATTTGATTGTTAAAATCTAGAGTTTTTCTTGATCTTTATTTTGGTAGAAGTTTTGCTGCTTATAAAGAAAAGACCGCCGCCAACCCCTCCCAAGATGGCAGATGTTAGTTCAGAGGAAAAAGTAAGCCTGATCATAGTTTATGAAAAAAAACTTTTTTTTCCTTTTATTTACATTTCTGTTTCTTCTGTTTGTAACAGAAGAAACAAGATACCAAAGCTCCAGATAAAGATGCTATCCTGAAAGCCACTGCCAGCCTGTCCACGAGGCACACAGAGCGCACTGTTACGCAGCACAACATCAGAGACGTAAGGACACTGGAAAAGTTACACTGTATGGGTATTTAAAAAAAAAAATTGATAGCTGAGAAATTTTTTTTGTTCTGATCTCTGTGTTCCAGTTTCAAACAGAGCTTAGAAAAATCCTGGTTTCTCTTATTGAAGTTGCCCAGAAGCTTCTTGCCTTGAATCCTGATGCTGTTGAACTCTTCAAAAAGGCCAACGGTAAGATGGAATACCATCAAATAATACTGATTAAATATTGTTTCTTTCTCTAATTGAGTCACATCAAATGAGAATGGTTATTCACAATGGTTATTACTGCATTATAAAGCAAATAATATGTTTCACCTTTCTCCGTGTTGTTAAGGTAGCAAATAGCTGGACGAAAATAATAATAAAGCTATTACATTCTGGCTTTAGGCTTGTGCTGGGGGTTTATAATATTTGTCTGGTCCCAATTATAAAGGCCCAGCAAAATGTTCCAGAGACAAATGGAAGGGAAAACCTGACTTCCTTTTTGGGAAAGCACATTTTTGTGCATGAAGCCAGAAATTAAATGACTTTAATGACACTGAAAAAAAAAAAAAGAATCATTACTCTGTAAAATTTGTCTTATGTTGTGTTCTTACTACCTGTGACAGAAAGTAGTTAACATTGTGGAGTAGAAGGAAAAAAGGGTCCTGCGTCTTTAACAAACAATCAGAATAGTGTGACATCCACTTCTGTTGGAGCTCCTTGGAGTTAATTCTTGATTAAATTACATTTCACTTTCACTACAGCTTCACATTCTCCAGATTTGCTTATCTAGAAGGAAATTTTGCTCTTTTCTTATAAAGTCAGACTAGATCAGCTGCATTGGTGCAGTTTTAATAGACTCAGTTGGCTTCATGTCTGAACAAATTAATATTATCTGATGTAAACCTCTTTGACGTCTATCATCTGCCTGGCCTATCAGTTCCTACTAAAGAGAAGCATCCCCACAGGTTGCCATCGCCAACAGATTTTTACACTTCCAATTTTTCTTTCATTAGACCTACTAACAGACAATGTAGTTTTCGATCTCCTGTCCTTTGCAGCCTGAGACAGATATCTGAAATAACAGTTCAGTTATCTGTCTCTGAAGCTTTAAAAACATCCACACACCAACATCTCTGCTTTCTTCCTGTGGCAGACTCATGCATAAGTTGGATGCTCATGAACTGTAGGTGCTGCAGACATATTCCTCATTTATCTGTCACAGAAATAGTTGTATTACACTGGTTGAATAGCTGATGTCTGATGTTTAGTTTTAATACTAATAGCTCCCCATATCAATAACATGCTGATAAAATAGTGCATCCCATGTTAAGAGCCTGCATAGCTTTGCAGATATTCCATACTTCCAGTTTTAGATAGTGATTAAATATTGCAAATATTACATCCCCAGCTTGAAAACAGAACAGCTGTATTTAAACTGAAGCTCTTCTACGTGCAGGGAAACTCTATTTTCTATTTTAAGTGTTTTCTGAAGTTGCTTCCACTGTATTTAACTTAGAAGTTCATATTAATGAAGGGTTTCTTATACAAGCAATGCTTTAAAGATTGTTTTCAAACATTTTGTCAATAAAACACACCAAAGTTTGGAGCTGTAATCGGATAAAATATGAAACCTAAAGAAAATAAAATACTTTTTCAATGGATAGGTTTTTATAAGTGGTCGATTTTAACCGCATATTAAGTAAGGCTTCTTTGTATTAACTTACTTAATACTTTCCTAGTATTGTAATGATACATGTTGCTTCAGAACATTTATAATTGTTCTGAGCAATTCAGCCTTTCTGTAATTTTTTGCTTGTTGTATCAAAGCAATGTTAGATGAAGATGAGGAGGATAGAGTGGATGAAACAGCCCTCCATCAACTCACTGAGATGGGTTTCCCTGAAAGCAGAGCCATCAAAGCACTTAGACTCTGCCAGTAAGTCTGTTTTCCAAGCGATGCTTTCATCCATTCATCTCTAAATAAAAAAAAGGTTTTGTTTTTTTTAACCAGCGTTTCTTAATATCCGTGCAGCATGTCAGTAACCCAGGCCATGGAGTGGCTGATCGAACACGTAGATGACCCCACTGTAGACGCACCTCTACCTGGACAGGACTCGGCCGGGGCATCAGGAGCCGCAGCAGCAACAACGCCGGGCCCCTCAGCTTCAGCCTCAGCTTCAGCAAATGTTCCTTCAAATCTCTCCAGGCAATCGAGCTCAGATGAGAGCAGTCGGCAGGACGAGCTCACAGAGATCTTCAAGAGAATACGCAGGAAAAGAGAGTTCAGACCAGACTCACGGGTTGGTGTTTTGTCCGACATGTAGATCAAAATGAATTTTTACCATTTTGTTTAAGGCTCCGCTGTGTTCAGTCATTCTGAGTTGTTCAATAATCTCGGCATGTGTTTGATTCTCTAGGCTGTGATCGCATTGATGGAAATGGGCTTTGATGAAAAGGAGGTGATTGATGCTCTCAGAGTGAATAATAACCAACAAGATGCAGCGGTAAGTAAATACATAAAGACCGCTATTTCTGAAACATATAAAGTTCCTGTACGTAACAATAACCGCACTGGTATTTTAACCTAAATTTACATATCAGATTATCACTCAGTGAGATACTAATGGAGAAAAAGAGTTGGAGAGATAATTAATCCGTGATGTTTTTGAATATTGAATACTTTCCTGAGGATCGATCTTGAGTTTGAAATTTTTAAATTCTGACAACTATATTATAGTTAGAGCTTTGTGTTTCGTTTCACATTAAAAGAGTTGCTAACAGGTTAGACTAAGCAGAAACTTGCAACTCATCCTCCTTTGGTAGATGTCTATAACAAGATTCAAGTGAGAAACTGATGTTGTTTGGAAATGAGAAAACTAATTGTTTAAAACATGATTTTAAAGTATTGGTGCAAAACAATAGATGCTTTCACAGATACAAAAACATCTTTATATTGAGTGGAAACTATTGCGTTTATAATTGCTTTGGGTATGTTTCAGCTGCTCTTATGATTTACCTTGCATGAACAACTCAGTCTTTTAGGGGGAAAACATCTTTGCCACCAGTTTAATATTTATCCATTGCCTGTTTTATGTTAAGCTTCTTGGGTTGTTTTATGCTTAAAAATGAAAATATAATTATGATGTCATTAATCACCTCATCACTTTATTTATTGAGGTTGTTCTTACTGCTTTGTAAAATGGGACCCTATATCTCCAGCTTACATTTCATTCAAACATATTCAACTGTAAGAATTATTGATTATATATTTCTATTACTAACATTTGTATATGAACTATGTTTGGATCTATACTGAACTTTTCTCAGGTGGTTCTTGTTGATTTGGTTCTGGAAACATTTGGTCGTTTTTTCCAACTCTGTTTTTCTTTACATAATTTAGAATCAGAATTTGCAGTTTCTCACTTTTATTGGAGTAAAAGTGGTTAAATATCTATTAAACCACCTCTGTTGTAATTCCTATTCCAGATTGATAATAGGAGTTAAAGTGAAAACATAACCTTTTGTTTTTTATTCTGCAGTGTGAGTGGCTGCTGGGAGACAGGAAACCATCTCCAGAAGATCTAGATAAAGGAATAGACACCAACAGTCCGCTGTTTCAAGCTATTCTGGAAAACCCTGTGGTTCAGCTGGGTCTAACAAATCCCAAGACTCTGTTAGGTATAACCCGACATAATATAGCTGAAAGTCAAGATCAGCTGGTAAAAGTTTTGATTCTACATGACTAGAAGTAATCAGATGAGTAAAGTTAACTCTGCTGAATTTAGGGATCTCCTGATTTAAGGTGTACAGGTACTTTTTTCACATAGAGACAAGTTTATTAGGATCACTTTAAATATGTTTTTCTGTTTATTTTGGATTTTGTTAACTAATAATAAATCATATCTGATGATCTGAACCATTAAATTAACGGAGCTGCTGTAGGTCATTTAGAGACCTCTGTAACAATTTTAGTTTTTTTCTTTTTTTTGTGCAGCATTTGAAGACATGCTGGAGAATCCTCTGAACAGCACCCAGTGGATGAACGACCCCGAGACCGGCCCCGTCATGCTCCAAATATCCAGAATCTTCCAGACCCTCAATCGCACATAGAGCCTGCTGATTACCCTCGTGTGATTGTGGCAGCTCGTGTGTATGTATGATCAGAGCAGGACGTGTGAACGGATGTAACACAAATAGAGTTTACCTTTTTTTTTTCCTGCCTTGTAAAGGAAAAGCCAGATGAGTTGAAAGTTTGAATTAAAATGTTACACTATTTATAACGATACAATAAAATTGCCTATACAAAACAGATGATATTATCATTACAGTAATATTTAAAGACAGATTTAATATGTTCTTTTTACATATTGAAAACAACCTAAATATATGACAGACAGTTTTTTTCTGGAATTTCTCTATGAAGAAATGATAGCAGGCATCAATTTAATGTTTACACTTTAAAGAAAAAACAGTTTTTTAATGATTTGCAATATTTAAACCTCATTACAGTCGTCTCGGTTTTCTTTGAAATGTTACAGTTTATCAGTGGTGAATGTAAGTAGGAGTTCTGTCATGTTCGGGCTTCTACTTCCATCAGGAGAGCAGGATGCTGTCTGAGCTCAAAGCACACTTTCAGTTGCACTTCTTGGTTCAGCGTTTTGACATACACTCATCAATGGGATGTTTAATTACCTCGTACTTTTATTTGCATAGAAGTTCTGTTTTAAAAAATATTCACGCAGGATCCAAATTAAAAAATGCATGCATGTTATATCTCCATATATTCCCACCAGTATTTTGTTACAAGACCCTCTGGTTGTGGGGTGTTCATCTCGTGCTTTTTGCAGCCACAAAATTAGCTTCTGGTTTAAATTAACTTGATGTTGAACCGCTTTTCTTGAGAGAACTGGAAGATTTATTGGGTTTAAATGGTTAAAGTTGTTCAGGTTAAACGTAGAATCCACAGATTTTCTAAAGGGTGGGTTCCTGGCTTTGGGACAGCTATTCTAGAAACCTGCTTTATCCATTTCAGAACCACTTCTAAAGTGTTTCATCCATTAAGCCATGGATTGGAAAGCTAAATATATACAAGAATAAAAATAATAAAAAACCTTTCCTCAATATTTAGTCCACTTTATGCAAAGCAGAGGTACTGCTTGCAGTGAAAGAGCCCCAACAGCATGATACCGCCACCACTATGTATTATAGTAGATTTAGTATGGTTTACTACTAAACTCATCGAGGCCAAACAGCTTAGTCTTTAGTGTTTTTCAGGCGGCGTCAATCTTGTTTGATTGGGAAGCTAAGGTGACGATTTTGGAGACGGGGCCTCTATCCTAAACAGCACTGGCTTGGTCCAAACTAAAAAGTTGGTTAGGAGTGTCTTTAACTTCACTAGTTAGAGTAATCCTTCAGGACAGACATTTGTGCTTCCTGTTAGGATAATGATCCTGAACATTTTTAATTAGCTTTAGAATCCAGTTAGAATTCTAAAGCAAAGCATCTAGAATCGGCTTCAACCAGGTCCAATCCGGAAATCCAACCATTTCATAGAAGCTCAGCAGTTCTACCTAGAAAAGTGGTGGGTTGTATTGTCCACATTATTCCAGAAGCCTTTTAATGGCTAAAACAAACGTTGAATATTAGTGTGGATGTGTGTTTATGTTTCAGCTTGTATAGATCAGAGGAAATTTACAAGAAATGTCATTCTATTTCTTGGTTCCATCCTTATTTCATGGTAAAAAAAAAAAAAAGTATAATTATTAATAATGAGATTCAGGCCAATGATGAGTGTCTGTAAACCTCTGACTGGAACTGTGCTTAATTACCTCTCTCCATTTACACTCAGTAAGTCAAACACCTCTCACCCAACAGGGGGAAACTTTTGTCAGTTTCAAACATTAAAATTTTTTTGCCTTTTCAGAGAGACCTTGTACTCTAAATTGCATTTTGGTCCTGATTTAGTGAAGAGTATGTCACAGTAGGCCTGTGCGCGTTTGTGGTCGATGTGGACTTGAATGTCTTTCTATCTGCGCCTCCTTAGCACTTCTTTGATCACTGCTCACTGCAGCACAGATCGCGTCAAAGCGTGGATTGTGGGCCACCCGAAACGTCTGGAGTCCGTCAGTAAATGGAAACGGAGGAGGGTTGCCTTTTTAAACCTTAAATATGAATCTTTGAATGATAATGATGTGATCAGATCATGTTGCTGGGGCACAAACATCTTTATACACACAAAGACACAAGCTGGAACGCAACCAGCAGATCTTTTTAGTTTCCAGTTTGTTTGTTTTTTCTTCTGAGAGCAATGAACACCTTATGCTGTCAAACAAACCAAAATGTTCCTGTATGTCATGCCTTGTCACTAGTTCTACCCAGTGGAGGAAAAAAAAGTGTATTTCTGTGCAATAGTAAAGACTTAAAGATATGTATCTGATCTGAGTATTAGTCCTATTTAAACTGAAAGGGTTAGTGTTTTCTAATGTTAGCCTTTGCATCGAGTACTCATGATCTCCAGCTGAATGTTGGAGCTTTTTGAGCTTATACTAAAAAAACAATATGAAAGGTGGCACGCCTTTGTTTTTTTTTTTTTGTTTTTTTTTTGCCAAGCTTTTGAGTGTTTTTATTCTATATTTAAAATGTAGTACTGATGTGACTTTCTGCTCAGGGAGGCTTAGATTGTTGTCATGGCAAACCCCTGCTCAACCGATGTTAGTTTGGCATTTATTAATGGCTTTAACAAATCTCTTCAGATCACAACATCATGACATGCAATATTTAAAGAAAACGATATTTAAATGTTTTTGGAGAGAAGTGTCTGTCTGAACTGTGTTTTATTACATTATTTATATCAAAGAAAAACTCGTAACTTGGTCTTATTTCTAGCACTTTCAGCAAACCTGGATGCTGCACTCTAAATGTGGAAAAACATTCTTCAAATGCTGTTTTTACAAGTCATTGTAGAGATGTTCTTTTGAAGAAATCTGTGGGTCAAGGTGAGTTGACTGATGAGAAAAAGCTTGGGAGGTTTTGCTCTTTGAATGATTTATTTAAAATGAATGCAAACATTTTTTCCAAATATTTATCTGAAATTAAAATGCAGAAAGCAATCTTTTTTAGAGTTGCTATTTTTGGTCCTGATCCAGATAAACAACCTTTGCAATCTTGTATCCATTCAAACAAACCAATGACCGCTGCCTTCTAAAAACTAATAGAATCTGTTCTGAAGCTGTGCTCATTGGATTGTGTTTGGACTCACTTTATAGGGCAGCTGTGTTTTAAGGACGGAGTAATTAACAATAATAACAGCAAAACATTGAGTTAATAAGGTGCATTTCAAAAAGATCATTCTGTTTTAACTTCTCAAGGACAAACCTAAATTAATTTTATTCTAATTATATTTGAGACAAACAGGTGCACAACTACGAAATAAAAAAAAAAAAACAGTACATGATTTTTACAATATTTTACAAATTTGAAAAAAAAAAGTGTAGACTGCATTTCTATTTAGCCTTCCTGGGTCATGACTTTTCTGAACCAGGTTTCGTTTAGTTCCAACCCTTTTGGGATACAACAACCGTCGGAAAACTAGACACATAGATGTTTTCTAATGTCTTTGTTAAATAGTTTAATCCCAGTCAAATCTTATAGCAAACATCTGTGCACATTATTTTTTCCCCAAGTCTTTTCATGGAATATTAATTATAACTTAAGTTGACTGTGACTGGGCCATTATTTAAGGACTACATAGCAAACAGTTTGTTAGTTTGAGTTCAGTAATAAAGGAATCATTGAAGCAAGCAGTGGTGGATGAATAAAACTATAAAGGGCTGCTATCTTACATGTTGAAATTGGTTTTCAGGAAAGGAAAACAGCAAGAGTGGATTATAAAGCTAAGCTGAGCAGAAGGAACAAGTAACTAGCAGCTTCCTGGAAATGTAGAGGAGTAGAAAGTACAATATTTGACTTTGAAACAGTGAAGTGATAGTACCTACCTTCTATGGTAGGTACTTATGGGGTACCTTCTATGGTGTATGTTGGAGCAGCAGCTTAGTTACATCTGAGAACAGCCAACTACATAGCCTAAGATTGTCTTCAAAAAGGCCATCGGAGCTCTAGAGGTCCCCCTCGATCTACTACAGGTAGCTAGAGACAGAAAGACAAGCAGAACTGACAACACTTTTTGGAAATGTTTTCCACTGCAAGCAGCTGATGCAGACCTGCAGAGCTCATTCAATAACAGCCCGCTGCATCCTTGGTGGACAAAGGAAAACTATTACAGATCATTTATCCCTGCAACTGTTAGATTTCACTACTCCTAACAAACTCATTAAATGGTTCCAGCCTTCTGCTGATCTTCTTTATACACCAATTAAAATGCACATTTTGAAAATTTTGAAATCACCCTACTCAGTCACACATTTCTATAATCTGAGTACTAATTCTAATAAGTGTACAGTATTCTATTGTAAATTTCCTCATACTGTGCACACTCTTACTCTCATATTTGTTTGTCTTTTTCTTTACTTTTCGCTCATTCATTTAACCTTTTTATGTATCTGCATACCTCTGTTTGCCTTTCTTTTTGATGATGGTATATGTGGGCTTTATCCACTAAGGGACAGTATATGTATTCTAGATTGTAGCAAAGCCGTGCATTCAAAGATAGGACATATTTTTTAATATAGTTGTAATATCACTTTTGTTTTTCTTTTTTAGCTTAAATATATTTTTTTGCATTTCAAATTGTATTTATTAGACAACACCTGTATATAACAGAAGAATTAAATGATAATATTTGTATTTTTTTTTTTATCACAATCTTAACACAATCTTAAGGAAAAGGATTAGGGCCACTGAGAAAAAAACAGAAAAAAAAAAGTTAATAGATTTTTAAATTTAATTTCAGTTTAATTTGGGGGGAAAAAAGTCTGAATTTTGAGAAAAAAATTCAGAATTTTGACTTTAATCTTAGAATTCTGATTTTTTTCTTATAGTATGACTATGGGTGGAACCTTAAATTTTATTTCAGTGTAATATGGGAAAAAAGTCAAAATTCTTAGAAAAAAGTCAGAATTCTGAGATTAAAGTCAGAATTCTGAGATTAAAGTCAGAATTATTAGAAAAAAGTCAGAATTCTGAGATTAAAGTCAGAATTCTGACTTTAATCTCAGAATTCTGACTTTTTTCTTATATTATGATTATGGGTTGAGCCTATCCAGTTTACGGAAGACGATTAGAGCCACTGGAAAAAAAAAGTTAACAGATTTTAAATTTTATTTCAGTTCAATATGGGAAAAAAGTCAGAATTCTGAGATTACAATCAGAGTCCTTAGAAAAAAAGTCAGAATTCTGTCTTTTTTCTCAGAATTCTGACTTTTTTCCCATATTAAACTGAAATAAAATTTTAAAAATCAGTTACCATTTTTTTCAGTGGCCCTAATCCCCTTCCGTACAATATAGTTATTTTTTTGTTCTTTTTATTAACGGGGTTCAAATTACAGTGACCAGTGAGATTTACTTCTGCTAGAATGCTTATACCAGTTTTCGCCACTAGATGTCAGTACTGATCAGTCAGAATCCAGGACTTTTGTTTATTCATTATTTTAAAGTGGACATATTTTCAGAATAGTGGTTGGATGAACGCATTTTGTAGACACACTTTCAATATGATCGTAAGAATCTTTTAAATAAAAGTAAAAATTACACAACCGGGTCACAAAATTATTAGTCCACGGTTGACAGTCGGGAATGTAGCCGCGCAAGCGCAGCAGGTTCATTTGGAAAGAAGGATGAAATTTTCTATGGGCAGAGCGCGAACACACCGCGGGATGCGTGTGTTTTCTCTGTACCATGCATCATTTAATCCAGAGATAAGGTTTTAAACAGAACATTACCCTCACTTTTTATTTTTATCGGAAGCTCTCGGGGTATATTTCTCCCTCCTGTCTTGAGTCTGCCGCGAAGCTGTTGTCAGACAGGCCGAAGATTGGATTCTGTTGCTGGGAGGAGACCACACAGACTCCCCTCCCTGTTAGCATTATTATTAGCTGGCTACGATGCATGTCTGCGGCTGCTGTCATTCCCACACAGCAGACCGCTTTATAACGAAGCAGGTCTCTGCTTGATTGGTTGTGCTACCCTGTTGGAAGTAAAGGGTGATTCGGAAATACGCAGCACCTTTCAAGGTAATGTTCTTCCAGCTAACGTCATTCACGGCTCCATTGAAAGCAGCTAGCTAACGGTTAGCAGCCGTAAGTTAGCTGCTATTCATTTACATGCTTAGTCCCTCTGGTAACCCGGTTTAGAGGTTACATTTACTTAAAAAAAGACAACAAATAGCTTTAAATTAAGTCTTTGTAACACGAAAACATCACCTTTATATAGAGTTAATGTTATAGTTTCTCTGTTGTAGCCAAACAGCTTTAGGCCGTGAAGTGTTGTATTGTGGTCCCCTAATAACGCTACAGGTTATAGTAGAAATGTAGCTAATACCAGTTTAGGGTGGTGTTATTTTTACTAAAAATAATGAAACTTAAACAACCCCAATCATTAACGACGAGGTTCTGTATCTTAATAACACCTTGTTCTAAGTCCTCACCTGTTAATTACTGTTTGCTACATTTTTGGTTGAAGATCTCCTTCCTTTAGATCTTTTTTAAATAGTGAATTCCAAAAATGTGTGTGTATGTATATATATATATATATATATATATATATATATATATGACTATCTTTGATTCTGTACTTAAGAGGATCAATCACTTGGGATGTTGATTTTCAGGGTGCTGTAGTCAGACATGCTAATGGAAAGTTGAGTGGAAGGAAAATGTAGTAAAAACTAACAAAGTATATAAATATGGGGGTAAAGCATTCAAGATTTCTGGTGAAGACTCGCAAAATGTGGACTGCAGTTTATATTGCTTTAAAAGCTGTCTCCCTGCAAAACATGGCCTACAACTGTAATGCTCCTTGTTTGAAACATAGAGTTGTAATGATGATGCTTACATTTTCAAAACTGATATCCAGAGACATGTTTGATTTTTATTATAAAATGCATAAACAATCTATTAAAAATAAATAAAAAACACCTATTTTAATTTAATCTTTGAAAATTCTATCTAAACAGAATAACAGATGCTAATTGAATAATTGTACTAATGCATGTGATATGAATTACCCATTTTTTTAATGAGCAAAAGATCCAGAAATGTTAAAAGAACAAAAGCAAACATAATTCAGTGGAGTCCGCTTATAGTGATCACGTTGGTCCAGAGCCAATTTGAACACTATAAGAGGTTGATTACTAAAACCGAATGTACCGTTATTTCACTTATTTTTTTATGCAGAATATCATCTACATGCCATTCGTGTGGTTTTTCAATGAGAAAAATGAAATGAAACGGATAGCTTCCGCATTTACAGAATTTTATTACAGTACCATGCAAGTTTAATTACAGTATACTGCGCTGTAGCTGTAAAGTTTGAAACAAACGGTTATATAGAACAACATAATAGAAGATAACTGCATAGGCTAAAGAAAATTAAAGCTAGCCTACCTCTGTTTTGTGTTGCGGATCTGCTTCGCCGCATTAAGAACTTAACACTTAACATATTTATCCATGGTTCCCTGGATCAGAGTGTTGTCCAACACCGAGTTCACTTCTTTTTCAAAACGATGTAAAAGGTTAAAGTTTTTTAAACCAACATTCAGGAGACCAGTCTTTAAAATGCAAACTGAATTCCTCATCTCAGCTCTGGAAGGGACATCCGTCTCCTCTTCTTCATCCTCCTCCTCGCTGCACGAAGCACTGGTACCCACACCAAAACGCTCTTGTACCTCCGAGACGTACATGTAATTTTAAAATTATTTTTGCACATGTTTACATTCATAAAATGGCCAAAAATGAACACTATAAGCAGATTTCTTGATTAGTATAAACAAATTATTTAAACAGCATTTGTAAAGAAATGATTCTGTCCCAAGCCTTTTGATCTATATAAGCGGTTGCTTACTATATCTGTGACCACTATAAGCGGATTCCACTGTATCTTTAGTATCAGTACCAAATTAGTATTTTATCAGTACAATGTTTGACTATCAATACTCCTTGGAGTGTTGAAACCCTTGTAAAACCAGACTGGAAACATAGAAGGGGTGGGGAGGACGGGACTGTTGCTCATTTGTCCAAAGTCATCTGTTCAGGCAAAATTAAATGTATCGTTTCATATAAGAATGGACTTCCCATAGTTTCTGCCTTGGTTCAGCTCTAATGTGAAGGTTTTAATGGTAAGTTTCCAATGGATGTGTTCATTCTCAGTCCCCCGGGTCATAGGAACTGCAAAACAGGCTTAAATTGAAATTTTGCCTTAGGTTGACTTAAAACTTTTATAAAGTTTTAAGTCCGCACCGCGCTCTACTAGCATATTTTGGAGCACTTCATGATCCCCTATGCAAAATAATTAATGAAATTATTCGTGCCCTGCACATGCTGCCAAAGGCACTATATCCTAGTTTAATTCCTGCTGTATGACAGCTCTGGATTCTCCAGAAGCCTTGCCCAACCAGACCTAAGAAAGAATCTAAGGATTGGTGCCAAGAGGAAGTCAGCAGAGCCAACAATACAGAAGAGCTGAGGGCCACCATTAAAGTAACCCGAACTTCTTTAGTAGATTCACAGGCTGAACGCCTCCCCTTAACCATGCTTGGATGCAATAATTACTACTTAAAAATAAAATAAAATAAAAATCCAGACCAAATACTGTACAATACATGAAAATACTTTTTAATTGGGTAAATGTTTCCGTTAACTGTTTATTGATTGATTATAACAGTTTATCATACACATTCCTTCCATGGTAATAATGACTTTTTCCTTCAGTTAGAAATGTTTTTAGTACACAGTGGCTTTACGCTGGTTTAATTAGGTAATATTTTGTCCACAGGCTGACTATATTAAATTGTTTGTCATTAGCTTTGGTGTCTGCAATGTTTTGACTTTATATTAAACCCTGTTTCCACTGGTTCTGGTCGGCTTATTCTTACAAAATATTGAAGAGGAAACCAGAATAACTAAGATTCAGTTATACAGATAAAAGAATATTACTATAAATCCTCAGTGGTCAACACGGACACAGTTCAATTTTGGTACAATATTTATTTTTTTCTCAAGATGGATGTTGACCTGTGCGCCGGTGGGGACGGTACCAGGAAAAAAGCAGAGTTACCTGGAGCCGTGGACGGGACAATGGATGTTGTTCCTTTGGAGATGTACGACTCTGCCAGGGCGAAAATATCTGCTAACCTGCGGTGGCTTTTTGCCAAAGCCTATGGTATTGGTAAGTTCATTTCAAGGATCCTACACAACTCAAAACGTTTTTATTTTTTTTATTAAAGATTGACCTGCAGCCAGGTTGGTAATTTGAGATGATCATTTTAACTGTTACTGACGTGAAAAGGCAGAGAGTTAGAGCTAACTGACCTAAGTCCTTTGTGATACTTGGAACTGAAAACTCCCTGTCTGACTCAGCAGATCCTTGCATTCTTATACGATTAAACCTAAATCAGGGACAGTCACTTCTGCTTCTGGTTTGTGAGCATGATCAGTGGATGAAAAATCCTCATCTGCACATCCTGTCACTCACACTCCCTGTTAGGATTACATTATCATCACTAAGTGGACCTTTGTGTTAGATGTTATGATTGTTCAACCCTATCCACTGGACATTTTCTTTATTAGAAACATGTTTTGCTGCCGAATTATAAATAAAACAAGTACTGTTTTAAAGGGAAAAGGCATTTGGAAGCTAAGGGGAAATAATTCATAGAGCCTGCTTGTGCACGAGGCTCAACAGACAGCATGGTTCTATTCCATTGTTTTGCTCATCATCTGAGGAGTGGCGGCCTAGAGTTTAGGGCTTAGAGCTTGTAATCCTGAGGTTCTGAGTTGGAGCCCCACTCCCACAGTCTGCCTTTAACCCCTGATTGCTCCCCGGGTGCCCCACGATGGCAGCCCACTGCTCCTCAAGGGGATGGGTCAAATGCAGAGGTAAATTTCCCCAATGTGTGATCAATAAAGTTCAATTATTTTAATTATTACTATTATTTTTATCGCTGCTGCCAAGTTTCTTTAAATTGTAGAAGCATTTTTGTTGTTCAAACGGGACTTTTCTCAGGCGGCTTTCTCTTCCTTTTTAGTCTGCAAACCCTCCAGCAAAATATCTGCTCCAGAATGTGAATGAGGAGCAATGAGAAGCAAAATAATTATCAGCTTGTATTTCTGAGGGTTTCAGACCTGCTTTAGTTTTAAATGCATGTTGGTCTATCTGCATTAGCTTTTTTATCGATTCCTTTGAAAGGGCAGATTCTACTTCTGCAACCGCACACATCAAATGTCGCTTGGGTCTGGCCGCGAACCAGTTTTGCTGGTATGCTTCTGCACCTTCCCTCTGGAATTTTTAGGGACGGACTGCAGTTTCCCGCCAAAGAGCAAAGGGGAGCCTATTCGAGAACCAGCACCAGTGTTTATCTTCAGAAACAACAATGGCGCTTCTGCAAGATGTCACGGAGATGGATCTAGAGTTTTTTTTAAAATGGCGTGCCCCGGCACCGAATCGAGAAGGACGACCACACAGACAGCTGGAAAGGCATACCAAGGACCAATCACAGCTGCTTTTTGTCATCGCACTTCTGCTTGACGTCTGCGCGGGTTTGCGACCGTCCGAGGCGTAGTAAGGATTTTTTTGAGGTGAGCGACGACGGTTGCAGACAGATTTGATGCTTGCTCAGACTATGCGTCAGAAGCATAAATTGACCTTAATTGGTCATTGTTAGACCTTGGCTCTCACTGCTTCCCTCTGCTTTTTCAATAGGTTTGGATTTTATAACTTGTAAAAGTTCTGTGAGTAAAGGCTGTTTTGTGTCTTTGTTTGATTGAAAGGTAATTGGATAGAATGAACAGCTGAACGTGAAGGAAACTGTTGCAACATCACGTTGGACTTATAGCAAACAGCAGTTATTCTACCAACCACCAGGTGAAGATGCTAAGCAAACATTATGTTGCTACGAGATTAGCTTAGCAGCAGAAAAGACTGAACAGGAGTTACACTTCTAAGATGAAAAAAGATCATATATCTTTGCATTCTTTTGAATGAGGGTGTTCAAACAATAAGTTACTTAAGTAAATTTAAGTAACTTTTCATAAGCTACACAACTGTAATGCAGTTTTACCTTCATTGGCAACAAGCATACTTAATAGCTGCAGAAAAGTGAGCCTGAAACTGATAACAATTATTTTGGATCATTCTGGTGACACGGTTGCAAAGAGAAATGGGAGCACTGAGAGCCGATAGGAGTTAGAGTAATAATGCTAGTCATCAGTAGAGCAGAGCTGAATCATGGCAACATTTGACAGCGGCTGAAACAAACAGTCATTAAGTGCTTTACAAGAGACCAGGCTCAACATTGAGTGTTTTTAAGTCTCTCAATAGACTGCCAACTGGCGAGGACCTCAAGCTTTTGCTCTTAGAAACTCCTCTCCAGACTTCCCCTCTTCTGAACTCTAGTAAACCTTCACTAGAGACGGACTTGTTCAGGTTTTTAAGGATGAGGCCGATACCAGTTATTTTAACAGTAGTCTAAAGCCTCTTTTCCGCTGATATTAGTGGATTAATGCGGGTATTTCAAACACGGGTCAACCCGCCAACTATCAGGATTTGGTTCCCTTTTTATTGGCAAAAAAAAAAGCTGGGTCTGACCCCCCCCGCTGCTAAGCTGAGTGACCTCTTTCCCCCCACTCCTGCATGTCTGGTGACAGCATCACGTTGGGTTAGAGTTGATGATGTCACCAGTGCAACAGAACTCAGGAAAGTAAACAACGGAGAGCAACATGTAAGGGTGCTTTATTGTTGGCTCTGTTTGATTGAATGTAAACAAAGTTGTTTCAGCTTGTTAGATCAGACTCGACTTGCGCAGTGTGTTGACAATTGTTACATTACGCTCAATAGTATCACTTAAATTAGCAGGTCGACCCAGGACTGATGTCCCCACACCATGCAGAACCGGAGCCGAGCCATTTTAATGTGATTTTAGCCTGAGTTGCTTTCAGAGTTGTTTGACCCGGGTCGGTGAGCAGCTTCCACTGCCACTAAATCGTTCCTAAATTTGTTCCCGGTTGAAAAGTTTTTTTGGCCCGTTTTGGCTCGTGGGAAAGAGATACATATATTTGATCCCTAATATGTTCTGCTGAGATATTTTTCTGTCCCTATAATTTTTTTGGATGTTGCTTTCTCTTCCTCCATTACGTGAATCTTTATTACAAAACACAATAAACATTTATCACTAAATCAAAGAAAACATTAACAATGGATAGCGAATGGCCGAAGCAGTCCATGCCTCTAACATGATCTAAAGACATGGCGGCTGTGTAATGCCTTAAATAATTTACCACTGCATGCACCTGTCTGCAAAAACACAAATATCTGCAGAATATACTTTAACGGGTTGATGCATCAGTCTGTCTGACCTTAACACACAGGATTTCTTCATTTCGGTGATTAAATAAACGGCTAAATGAGCTACCAGCATGAATGCAGCTATATTAATTAGTTTCTGGCTCTCTGTCTTTGATCAAGTAGATTTTTAAATATTTTTGATTAACGAGATGTGATTATATTGTATAGAGAACAGATTTATAAAAACCTATGATGGTAGCTATCCCTCGTTTGTATATAGATATATATATATATATATATATATATATATCTTTTTGTTTACAGATTGGTGATGGTAACATTTCTCCTGCTCTGCTAACTAGTAACATGTAGTGTTGTAGACTCCTTGTATTTGGAGCATGTGAAGTAAATATGGAGCTTTCAGTACATTTTAAATCTGTCGCCATGTCTGGTATCCAACCTGAAAATTCAGGAGGCGTTGATGTTTTTACTAAATAACTACATGCAAACTTGTAATCCCACTTCATAGTAGTGGAGCTTTGTTTGATATCTGATGAATAAGTTCCTGATTTCAGGCTTTGCATGTCTGGCCAAGTCATAACTCATCATTACAGCCTTCCTTTGTACTCTGTGGTCTGTTATGATCATTACACAGATTTCCTAATGTCACTGAAGCATGCACTTAAAAATGGCCGTAGTCTGGGGGTTTTAAGGTAAGCAGGGTTTGAGTAAAAAGCTGTCGTCTGCTTTGCTTTTATTTCAGCCAAGAATTTTGTTATTCTCTGCCCGTTTTTGATCATTAGGGCTCATCCTGCATTAGCTTGGTCATGCTGTTGTTTGCCATCATGGGCTTTTGGTAATGATACCGATGGAGCACTGGATAATTGTAGCATCCTCCTACAGACAAAAATAATACAGTTCATCATAGTCTGACTGTAGAGGCCCCAGAGGGAGACGACTCAGTGTATCTTCCTCCACTGGAGACGTAATAAATTAGTCGTGTTTTATTGTCATCCCACGGTGCCTGTGGTGTCTGCTACAATGCAAACGCTGCGCAGTCGGCGTGCTGTTCCCGGCTGATATGAATCCTCTGCACGGGCCACAGCTGATCCCAGCCGGCCAGATGCTAACACTGTCTGGCATTGAGTACCAGTCACATATTTCCAGCCAGTCCTACATCCTCCTCTCTGCTGGTGCAGATGGTGTGGCGCTGGTCCTGCTTGGCTTATTGTGACGTACAAAGTCCTGACTGCTGTTGCCAGGCTCTACCATCATGCTCCACCCCAGATAGGGCAGTTATTTGGCCTGCTGTGGTTTGCAGGAAGGGGGGGTCAACTGCTACATTACATCAATGTCTAGAGAATGAACTCAGACGGGAAGATGTACCTTGCCAAGACCCTTTCATTTTCTGTCACTAACTCCTTCTGTCATCATGTGTTGATTCACTCCAGGAATGACACAGACTATTGGCTTAACAGATTAATCATGTAGCTCAACACCACTGCTAAGGCCCATGTTAACAGGTGTTGCAATAATGGCTGCCGGATTAATTATAGCAGACTTTTCCCTTTAAGTTGATATCTATATATCTATATTTGTTCTCACCAGGAGTCTTCTGTGCATTAGAGCTGATTTATTACACTAAAAGTTAAGTGCTTTTTAAGTTGCATCTTGAACAATACAGGGAGAAGCTGTTTGAAGTGAGGACTGAAGAAAGGAAACAAATCAGCCTTCCTTAAAAGCTTTGGAAATAAAAGGAAAGTTAGCTGTGAACCAGGAAACCCCGTCTGACGTCATTTTGCCTTTTTCCCAGTTTGGTATTATTTTAGCTGTGATGTTGTTGCTGGCTGAGATCTTTATTAGGGTTTGAATTTTCTCTGATAGGGTTTGAGCGAAGAAAGAAATATTGATTAATTAAGCTAATTCCTCTATTTTCATATGCATTATAGCATTTTTAATTTTTTAATCATATTTGGACAAAATTTACTGAAAGGTATTTTTGCTTTTACTTATAAAGCAAGTTGCTTGGAGCCTGGTAATGTTTGATGGCTCTGTTGGTGTTTCAGTCATCCCAGCACAGATCAGTACAGTACTTTGTTCTCCTGTTCTGTCAGAGATGCAGGGGATCAGAAATAGTTAATTCCGTCTTGATTCTTAAGACCAAAAGGCAGAACACTAAAGAATATTTTGAAACGTTTTTTCTTAGTTCTTAGATTAATGGAAAAACGTATAAATCTCCAATTTATTTGGTCTAGAACATACATTCCGACAGCAGGCATAGTTCTGCTAATAACCTCCTGACTCCTTCATTTTTTTGTTGGAGTAAAAGCTGTTAAATGTGTGAGGGAACCTGTGATGTGTTTTGTTGATCAAAATGAAAATGATGGGTCTGACAGACACAGAAGAACAGACTTTGGTTTGGTCCAGGAAAAGCCTGATTAGTGCTGCTCTAATCGTTTTATGAAAAACCCAAACTCTGTAGATCACATCAATGAATACCCAAAACTGTATCAATAGGAGGAGTTTAGCACTTTATGTACATTGATTTTTTTTTAATGTGTTTTATTCTGTGATCTTGTCCAGATATTCTTTGATGATCAAACCACAGAGCTCCTCTTTTCTCCAACATCACAATTTTGATTATTTGTGGTTGGAGAAGAGGGCATAACGTCTCAGACGGGGAGGAGTCGAAACCTCAGGCTTTCAGTCTGGGTCCCTGAGCAAGTCCCCTCATAGCTGCTCCCTAACAGACCAGCTCAATGCTGAGGACAAGTTTCTGTTGTATTGTACGACTATAGAAAGGTTTTTATCTCCAGTCCTTCCCAATCTTATATAATCATATCAATTAATTACAGATACAGTGAATGTAATGGTTGTTGGGGTTTAATGATAAACTTTATTCTTTTTATTTCTACAACATTTTTTTAACCTGCCTACTTGCTCACCTGTATTTGAGGAGCAGATTTCTGCTGATAAGGTTTGTTTCCCTGCCTTCCCACAGGGTGGATACTAGGAACACGTCATTGGCACGCATGCAGCTTTTGCTGTGTTAACAGATCCGTGACAGAATCCTAAACAGATTCAGCAGAAATGGGGTTATGTTTTCTATTACGCCGCTTTCCTCGGTGCCTGCTGTCTGAAGGATTTTGTCCATGATTGTAGATCTTTTAAACATGCGGTTTACCTTCCAGGATAAATCTGGTTTGCGCTGCTGCTTTGCTCTATGTCCTTTTAAGGACACGGCATCTGCTTTTAGAATGACTTCACATACTCTGTAACAGATCTACCTCGACATGTTACCGTTTTCCTCCTTTTTGGCTCCAACTTTTAAGTAAGCATCTGTAACATCTGCACCATCCCCTGAGAATCCTTGGACCAGAGGATCTGCTGCCCGGTCTGCTCTTAAAGCAACACGCTGACTTATAATTACAAAGATCAATGTTTGCTCACAGTAAACTGAAGCCAACATAAAACAAATTTGACCTAATCTTATGACTCGCTGCCTTCCTCTTGGTGATGGAAGTGCTGTTGTCCAGCGTGGGTGCTAGGCAACGCATTTTCCTGTTTATAAACACTGTTGTTGTCTTAAATCAAGCTAAACTATGTATATAATATGATTTTCAGCATAGAGCATTACACAGCCCACTATTAAAGCATGCTTCAGTGCAACATGCGCCACCTAACCTCTAATTCTTTCCATTGCAGACCATATTCCAGAGGATCTGAGGGACCCGTTCTATACAGACCAGTATGACCAGGAGCACATCAAGCCACCGGTCATTCATCTGCTTCTTTCCTGTGAGCTTTACTGCCGTGTGTGCGCCCTCATCCTCAAGACTGAGCAGGCCGCATCTCTTCAGTCTCACCTGTCAGTCATCCAAGCTCTGTCCAGAAAGGGTATTTATGTCATAGAGAGTGACGACGCGCCTGTCACAGACGAGGACCTGGCCTGTATTCCTATAAAAATGGTAAGAAAGTGTTTGGAAAGCTGGGATTCACATTCGGTGTGTGGGGAAAGCACTGATCTGTTCTTATCTTTATGTAGTGTTAAAATATGTTGATGATTCAGCAAGAAGTAAGTTAAACTGGAACCTTTCTAAAAAGTATTTGTAAGACAGGCAACGCTAGCATGCATCCAGGTCCTTAAGAGCATGGTGGTGGTAGTATGATGGTCTGGGTCTGCTGTTTTATCTTATGCTCTTTTTTTTGTTATGCTTTGTTTCATGAGATGTACACCTTCTGAAAAGCTCCGCTTCAGTCCTGTCTGTCCAGTTTACCTTAAAACGCAGCGCGTCGGGAGCGTTTAAGCATCTGACGCGCGCAAACGCGCTGCTGCTCGAGATGGAAAAATTTAATTTTTGCTGCTCGACGCGCCGCTTCATCCAGTCAGAGATGCTGATCTGGGAGCTGGCTGGGAGAGAGACACAGCGTTGATGACACAGACCGCTCTGATCACTCCTCTGAAACAGTTTATTGACGCCTAAATTAACTTAAAATGTAGAAATCTGTCAGCAGAATATGTTCGCTTTTATTATCCTGCTGCCTGCAGATCGGATTATTTAGATGAAAAACACCTACCAGTTGCCGCGGTGAACCGCGAGGAGGCGACCCAGCCAGAGGCTGCTGATGAAGGGATTCCTACTGTCAGCGCACCGCTGGTATGTCGGGGGTCTGAGCGGCTCCGACAGAAATAACATTGGAAGGCAGGATTGTAATCTGGATGAACTGACTGCACTGATGAAGCTTTCAGGTGAAGAGCATGTAAAAACATATTAAAACTAATTTATTCCCACTGATCACAGAAAATATAGCTGCAAGGCAGAGAAAGGATAGTGAAGCTCTGCCCAACGCGCGTCAGACCCACTTTTGCACCACGCAACCAGAGCAGCAAAGCTGCTTCAGCCGCGCGTCAGAACTAACTTGTACGAGCAGCAAAAAGGAAGCTGCAGACGCGATTATGCTGCTTTTGCTGCGTCCGGTGTGAACGTAGCATAAGGTGTGTTCAGATGTGTCTGATGCTTCTGCCGCTCCTGTCTTCAATGGTAGAGAGCGGCTTGGGTATATTTGCTGTCATCAGTGGGTAAAAAGTAGTTTTAATATATTTTTATGCAAGAAGTCCAACTCAAAACATCGTATGTACACTTAATCAAGATTACTATCCTGCCCTAAAATATTATTTTGCTGTCAGAGCTGCGCAGACCTCCACATACTAGCTGCGCTCTGTCACTGGGAATCTCCTGCAGCACCCATATGCCAGGTCACTTCTTGGGGGTTTTCCCTTTCTGTTCGTAGTGGCTGGAAGTAGATATTAGTGTTTTTCAGGTATGTGGTACAAACTGCAGGCAGCAGAAAAAAAAAGCGAACATATTTTACTGGCAGGTTTGGACATTTTAAGTTAATTTAGGTGGTAATAAACTGTTTCAGAGGAGTGATCATAGTTCTCTGCATCAGCAGCACTGTGTCTGTCTCACTGCCAGCTCCCAGATCAGCTTCTCTGATTGGCTGATTTGGCAGAACGAGCAGTAAAGATTCTATTTTTCCAATTACAGTATCTACAGCTTGTGAAATTTTGAACATTTGGGACATTTTGAACATTAGAGCGACGTTTCCAGGGTGAAAAACAGGGCGTACAATTTGTAATTTTTTTTAATAAGGTTCTACAATGTACGCCCGTATGCATTGCTAGCTAAAAGCCTGGATGAAAATCCTTTAAGACATTTTGTGTTTGAAAGAATAATCAATCTGTAGCATTTTGAGAATTTCACTTCTGGTACAGGTTGTATGTCGCCAGAATAAATGATTTTGGGGGGGACCTTTAGCAGACGAACAGTTGAAGGAATTTTCCTTTTATCCTTACCCTGGTGTTTATTCAGTCTCAGCCAGGCTTTTAGAAGTAATGAGAAATTTAAAATCCATGTCAAATTTAAAAAGGACTTTGTACGGGCATGAAATCTCTTGGTCATGATTACTCATAAAATCAACATAAAGCGCTTTGCATAAAGGAGCTGTGCACACAGTTCTCTGCTCGACTTGTTGGAACAGCCTCTAAATGATTCTGCTCTATGCTTATCTTTTCTATTCAAATAAGGAGCTGGGGATTTGACTGCTATACCAGACCTGTAAGGACCTTTATTCAAACTTGAGGCTGTGATTAGGATTTAACTTTGCCTGTATTGTAACTCAACAGTCTGTGGTTTGAACGGAGTGTCCAGTGAACAAAGCCATGCTCTGCATACAGAAGAAACAAATCAGGATTGAACAATAACTTTCTCCCTTTAGCTGGATCTTTCTTTAGCCGTACAGCTGGGGTTTTATTATGCATAAAGAGTTTTTATGGGGAGCCTTATCTTTTTATGTTTCTTTTTAAGAGGGAATTTGTTAAGACAATAATTGGCTCAGAATGTTCAGATAAGTTTAGGATGCTGTCCATCCCGTCCTGGAGTCCTGCGAAAACTGACCTAGGGTCAGTGTGATGTAACAGGTGACTGGTTGATTCACTGTTAGGTCTGATTAGGACTTAGATATAACTTAGGATTATATCTAGATTTTGAAATCATGATTTTTACTTATTTTTTTGGAAACTGATATGAGAGAGACAATATGGTTTAAATCTAGATGGCTTATCTGTTGTTAAAAAATGATTATGTATTTCGAAAGGCTTTTTTTCTTTTTCGCCCTTAAGAAAACCCGTTGAGATAAATTATAAGTATTCATTCAACTTAATTATACCGAGATATCATTATTATTATTAGCATGGAGCAGCATTTTTTTTTCTATTTGTCTGTTCGCAACAAAAATATAATTTTTTTATATCTGCGCAAATTTTGGCCAATGTCGCTTAATGGGCCAGACACCACAATCCTCCAAATATACTGGCTCTAATTGATTCACTGAAGAGAGAGCTTTATTCATCCAAAGATTATCAAGCTTATTTAAATTGATCTTGATTGATGATGGATTGATTGATTGACTTTATTGATCTCACAACGGAGAAATTTACTCTTTATCTTGCGAATTATCATAGAAAATGAAATGATTCGCAGGATCACAATAATTTCGATCTTGCAAATAATTTCATTATCTATGTTAACAGGTCAAGCTTAAATTATCAATTTTATTTTCAGTATAATCACAATTAAAAAAACAGCCGAGGCACTAAATTTTTAGTCGCATGATATTCATCAGGAGTAAGACTCCGACTTTCTCACTCCAGCCCTTTAGGTGGCGGTAGTGTGCTTAGATTGGTTTACAGCTAACTGCAACCAGTGTCCATTCATGCTATTAGAAGTTAGGGTAAAATCCTCAGACAGTGGACTCTGGACAAGAGAACATTCAAGCTCATGGAAATACCAAAACATTTCAGCCAAACATGCCGTTAAAGAATTTTTTTATTATCGTATTTGGCAGAATTGAACAGCCCTACTTAAATGTAGCTTTTAATTATTGTTGATCTCGGGGAAAAAAAACGGAAGAAAAAGCATTAAAACTGTGAAAGTTGTATTCCCAGCTATTCTATCAGAGTTTGAGGTTTGCATTTGTCAACACCTTTTGGTTACAACCTACAACCAGGGGCCCTTTCTCTGTATTTTCGTAATATTTGTATCAACATTCTCTTCTAATCACATTTAAATGGGTTTTTCAATCATCTTTAAAAGGTTGTTTGTTCTTTTTTTTCCCTCCCCTAACTGTAAACGGTTCTCCCTGAGACTGTGTCGACCATCCTAAGTTGATGTTTGGGTCGTGTTTCTGTAAACCACATCCCACCGAGTGATGTTTAGATCCTGATCATGAGATCCTGCCCTTCAAACTCTTTGAAAGAGCATCTCGCACAGGACAGGATGAACAGAAAGCAGCGTGCCTGGCCTCCCCCACTCCTCCTTTTGCTTTGGTAACAATAGGCTGGGAGCGGGCCTCGCCCGTGCCTGCAGCTCAGGAGATGATGTGCGTCTGCTTTTCCTGCTGCTGGTCTGACAAAATAATCTGCACAGGCCTGTGTGTAAGCAGCCAGACACAAAGCCTAGATAGGAGAGGGAAAATTATGAGATTATCTCTGATAGACCACTGCAACTCTCCTCTAGGTTTGCTGACTTGACATGATGTTTCCATAGTAACCGGTTTTCCTGCTATTTCAAAGCCTCTGTGTGAATGAAGGCCCTGCTGTATATCCAGACGGTCCCTCTGCACCTTGTCGAGAGAGTTTGGGGGCAACGCTTGAAAGGAGCAGATCTCTTTGGGTCAACTTGTTTTGTGTTAACATGAAGTCTGCCAGGATATGGATGGATGGCAACATGTTGGGGAAACAAAAGATCTGGATTCACAAAGCTTCTACTACCTTTTTTCTTGTTAGTTTTGGATTTTTTTTTTCATTGCAACCTTCATTTAACTCTGCACAGCATGTCCATATTAGCTTTGAAATATGCAGTTCAAGAATCTGTTTTTGACTTCCTAGTTCAAGCCTTGTTTTCAAAGCCAAAACAAGACTTTGTTGCGCTACTCTATACAGCCACGAACTCAACGCTATATCTGACATTTTGAATTGAAAAAGCTTCCTTGATTGGAAGCAAAATGTTTTCAAAATTGGAAACAAATTCCAGTGGATTGTTTCTTTACTTTTTTGGAAGAACAAGTTCTAAGACAATCCAGACTAATAACAGCATCTTTTTTAGTATAAAAGAGGCTCTTTATTTGCTTTATAGGTTTTTGTTACATATTAAATATAAATTTTTTTTTTCTCATTTCTAAAATTTCAAACGTTCATATAAACATAATTGCAATAAAATGGTTGTTATTGTTTTATATTTTCTTTAAGTCCTTTAACTGGTATTTACATATTGTTTGACAATATAACATCTCAAACAGGGATTAAGAATTTTTCATACACAAACTAAAAGGTATGTGCAGTACAGTTTATGCTCTTCTAACTTGCTTAGGGCTCTTTGGGTTTGAATTACTGAATTCATATGAATCGTAGAGGTTATCAGCCGGCAGCTCTGCTGAGGTCGTTGGGAACGTGCTCTTAGCTCATCTGAGTTGTTTGATCTGCGGTTTCTCTAAACAATATTTACTATGATTAAGGTTCAGACAAGTTCTCTGGTTAATCAAGGACAGTGATGCAGTGGTCATTAAAGTGGGCTCCTTTGGCAGTGAGTCAGGTACCAAGTCCTGCTGGAAAGCAAAATCAACATCTTCATAAAAGCTTGTAAAAAAGGGAAACAATCTGTTCTTTAATATTTCCTGTTGGACGGCTGTGCCCATTTTCTTTTTCAAAGAAAACTGTAAAAAGAAACTATAAAATGTCAGTTTAAAGTGTACTTAGAAATATTTTGTTGGAAAATCATAGAGTTTTGCATAACATAAGCCCTTGTTTAAGCAATCAGTCAATCAATTATATATATATATATATATATATATATATATATATATATAAATAATATGACTCTAAGATTATTGTTTTCCAAGTTGTGGCTGTTGTTAGTCTCCATGTAGGTTGTGCTTTAGAGAAAGCTCCTAATAACGCTCATTTGCTGCTAACCAGCTTAATCTCTGAGCACTTCCATCAGCAATTGGATTAAACCAGGAGTATGTTTCATTAAGCACTGACAGGAACAACCGTGCATGTTTATAGATTAGTTTTGAGTGACGTGGCTTTCTGCATGGCTGCACAATGGTTAATCAGGAATTGATAGTCAGAATCTAAATGTTATGTTTTCCTGTTTGGTTTAAGAACTGATCCCATTTATTCTGCTTTGAAATCCCACTCTGGGCTGTGAAGGAGGTGTTTCAACAGATGCGCCACCCTTTTGCTGGGCTTTGTCATTTTATCAGAATGTAAAGAGCTGTTTTATCAGCAGTTTAAGAACTGAATCCGCTTTCAGCTCTTGTCAAACGTTGTGCTGTGTCACATTCAAAAGATTAACCTCATTCTATTATTCTCTGGTGTAAATCCATTTATTTATTGGCTGTTTGGTACCATAACCACCCTCCACCACCAGTCACCAAACAGAACATTACACTGAGCAGAACTTCCCTCAAGTCTAATTTCTTTTAGAATAAATGGTAGATTTAATACAACATGACTTTTTTGGGTATTTACCTATCCAAATTAGGAGAAATATTTTATTTTACATTTTATAGTGTGCACCACTAATATGTTTGTGTAATTGGTAGCCTCACTCCTGTGATGCCCACATCATATTTCTAACAGCCAGGATGCTAAATCTCAGAGTGGTAGCGAAATGAAAAGGGAGTCTGATTCAGTGGTTTATTCTGCAATCTATCCCCATGGTTTGTACCTCTAACCAAAACCCTCTGGAGATGGTAGTGAGATATAACCTCCCAAGTCATGTGTCCTTTTCGGCTAATCTCTGTTTGCTCTTTTTTGTTACATCCCCGTCTTTAGAGATCAGGAAATAAAATCTGATCATGTTTCTCTTTCTCACAGAGTGCTCACATTTCAATGATCGATGCTCTCATGATGGCGTACACCGTGGAGATGATCAGCATCGAGAAAGTGGTGGCCTCTGTCAAGCGCTTCTCTACCTTCAGTGCCTCTAAGGAGCTGCCCTTTGACCTGGAGGACGCCATGGTCTTCTGGATCAACAAGGTTCTGACGCATTTCAGATGTACTAGAAACCCAGCAGGACTTTGAAATGACTTAACTACCTGTCAGCTCTGTGAAACACGCCTTGTTGGCAGATGCACTGCACATGTGGCTCATTAAAGATGATGCAAGTGTTATAGGATGCATTTAATGGTATTGGACATTTTTGAATCATATCTTCCATTTACTTCAAAATGATTCAGTGTGCATTTATTCTGATCTTAGTTGCTACAACTTTTTTCATCTTCATGATGATTTCCACATTTTTTCCTTTTTCTGTTGGAGTCGGAACTAGGAATGTAAACAACATATGATAAATTTGCAATTAATGGTTAATAAGGTTGAAATTTGTTCCATCCGATTCATCGATAACATCCGCTTAGAAAGAAATTGTCAGTTTTGTAATATTACCTCCATCCACTGAAGGGCGCCGCTGATTAATGTTAATTACATTCTCACTGGTATTTGCACGATAAGTAATGCAGAGCGAAGGTATGCTGAAGCAGAATTATACATTGATCCAGAGTCTGGGGTTATTTCCACTATTTAATGGTGAGAAGGTTGCAGAATGCTCTAATTGCGGTTCTGTTTGAAAATATAAACACTCTGCAAACTCCTTATATTATCACCTATAGAGTGTACATATAGTGTTCAAGTAGATTATGCTAAAAGCAGAGCTAAATAATCATAATTACCCTCTACTTCCAGGGTTTCCGCGGGTCGTTAAAAATCATTAAAATTCATTTTTAAATTAAGGCATTAATTGGCATTAAAATTCATTAAATGTGTTTATTGTGGCATTTAAAATGCTTTATTAAAGAAAAATGTTTATAAAAACAATTTCATCAGACATATTATATCACGACATATTTGCTTGGAACTGCTTCCGGTTGATCGTAAAGCTGTATGTTTAGAAAAGAAGCTTGAGTCGTAGAAAAAGCTAGAGAATGGGGGGAAAAAAGCAAATTTCAACAAAAGTGGTTGGAAAACATGGAATTCGGGACATGGCTGCAGCCTGTTGATGGGTACAGTTGATGGCATTAAAACTATTTCTAAGAGCATTAAAAAGCATTAAATTTGAGTTATTCATTCCTGTATAAACCCTGACTTCACTGAAACTAAGTGATAATCTGACTGTCTGTTATTTATAATTTATCATCTCTGTACATTGCAATTTTAATTTAATTTTCACATATTTATTCATCTAGTTTTTTAATGAGTGACCTAATCGGCTCCTGTTTAAAGTTTAAGAATGTCTAAAACTTTTTTAGTGTATATTTATTCAGTATTTAATACAGCTGACACGATAAATTGTATAAATTACATTGTAAGTATGTAATATTTTTTTAATTCAACATATTGTGAAAACAATATTTAGCCCTTCATGTTATGAAAAAATGCTCTTAATATAAGAAAACTGAGGTTTAGGAAAATGTCTGCTTATGAATTAATTGTTAGTCGATCAGTAAGATCAATCAACTTTAGATTCATTCACTGATCTATAAATTGCATCTCTAGTCAGAGCTATTGCTTTTACTTTAATCATCTTATGTCAAAATCCAAAAATGGAAAAGCTGCGTTACTGAACCATTTATAACTGGTTGATTGAACTTAATGATATTTGTTTTAGAGTCCGCTAAGCTCTGTCTCTGACATTAGATTATATCTTGATAACTGCGTAATCTGAGCTTTGTGAGAATGGAAAACACAAAATCTGATTATTCATCACAATCAGTTGTGACTTTCCCAGGAAGACTTCTCTGAGGGAATATGTGGGCTGATGATTTTCCAGCTAGTTTATCCTAGCAAAGCCATAGATAGAGGAAACTTTATAGTGAAGTCTTTTTATATGGTGTATTCATCCCATCCTCTTTGATTTTCTAAAAAAAATAAACCAAAAACTTTAAAGCTCTTCAGGTGGCTTGGATGATTTTTGCTGTTAAAGAAAGCTTTTCTTCCCAATAATCGTGTAGAACAAGTTTGCTTGTATTTACAGTGAGCGGCGTAGCCGTCATGTTTGGGTTAAGGCGTTTAGCAAGCCTATTTAGATCTAAAATCATTGTAGTAAGTTCCAACATTCTGTGATTTCTGCTTCATTATTCTATGTTTGAATAGTAGGTGATGTGATTTCTATTGCAGGTGAATATGAAAATGAGGGAGATGATGGAGAGGGAGCACAAAGTCAAGCATCACCCCCTGGAGTCCCCCAGCCACCAAAAGGTAAAAACATTTGTGATTTCTATACAAAGAGTCAGAGAAAGAGAAAATGAATTGAAATGTTTCTCCTTTCCACATCAAGCTGGGTTAAAATAAAAGCATGTTTCATTGAAGCAGCAGCTTCCTCTGTTTGCTCTGGGAATGTGTCTTTGTAATGGCCTTCTGCAGATCAGAAACATCATATCCTCTGTTCTTCTTTCTGGACTTGGGAAGCAGATCTGATCCTTTTTGCTTGTAACCTCTGACTTTTTAATCTCTGCTCCTGTTCCTTATCTGTCCCTCCTTTCCCACTTGTCCCTGCAAACTGGATAGTCTCCCTCCAAATGGTATTGGAAGCTAGTCCCTGTAAGTTGGATGCCCCCTTCCCCTCCCCCAGTACAGCCATTCTTACCAGCTGATTCCTCTTTGCACGTATAGTTTTGTGTTGGTGTGCGCACACACTCCACCATCGCTCATTCACGCTCATTCAGTGCTGCTGTTTGTGGCCAGTGCATCACCAATGGGGGAGAAAAAAAAGACAGACTTCTTTTCCATTCTGGCAAATGTGTCAAACAGGTGTTTGGTATTCCAGCCTTTTAGAGATATTTCCTTTGCTTCTCATCATTTGCTGCTTAAAGCCTAGCTTCACCAGGTCGTGCCGATGTGTGGTTAGTTGCCTGTTCAGAGGTAGACTACTGAGCTACCCCATGCCCACACCTCTCCTTTGCTTTGCAGACCCATCCTTGGCAGCCTCTCCTCACTGATCTGCTTTTGTCATCTTCCCACCAGTCTCTCTCGCTCTATTCTGCGTTCTCACACTAAATGAACTGTTCCTCTGACAGTGACTCTGCTTTGTGTATGTGTCAGCCTGATGCCGTGACCGAGCTGGCCCACTGCATGCTGGAGCCAGAGGATCTCTATGATGTGGTACAGTGCTCTGCTCTGGTCAGCGGAAGGCTCCCTTACACTGCTGGATAAAGTGTTATCCTGATACTTACTGATTCTCTTTGTTAAACAGAAAAAAATATCTGATAATAAACCAGCTTAGAAATGACCAGAGTTAATACAAGATGCCTTTTTTTAATGATGATTCAATGTTTAAACAGAATAATTTGACCAAAGCAACCTGGTCCTTTGTGGAATAATAATGGCCACCTAAACCCAGTGATGACTGAAGTCATATGTTAGTCGACTTTATTAAAACCCCCTATATCCCTATACAGGAGTATTGGTCCCCCTTTTTTTGCTGTGGTATTTTATAATGTAATGGAAGTTTTGTTTTGACCTGGAGAAGTTGATTATGTCCTGTTGGATTAATCTTCATGAAAGGTTTCCCTGCAATCCCAAGTTTTCTCCTTGAGTAGCTTTTCTTTTTGTTTATTTTTAAACAAACACATATGAGCACAGATTGCTAAACATTTCTTGATACACACAGAATATATTTAAGAGTGCATGGGAAGATAATCGAAATAGTATCCAGAATCCAGGGAGGAGATTGACACAGAATGTGAAATGAAGATGGACAGTTAATATATTATAACCATCTGTGCGAATCACTTCAGTCAGGGATGCATCTCACTATAGTTAGCATCTCCTCACAAAATAATCAGACTTCAATTATATGTGAGCAGTTAGAGCCTCCATACTATACTCCTCCTTCACTTTCTGCTTCCACTGTATAACTGGGTAGCAGTAAATGCATCCATTATATTGTCTCCATTTATCTCCAGTAATCAGTGGTTCATGTATTTTTGATCTCTGGTGTAGCTACACATTTTCAGGATTTTAATAGCAGCCAATCAGTACCTAGAATGTTGTCTATCTCAGTCTTTACCTGCCTCCATTAAGGAAGTTTCATTGGGCAATCTCAGAATATTAGTGTTTGAGAATCGCTTCATATTTTCTCCAGCAGAGCCTACACCACTAAGGGTTTCTTAGTTTGCTGTATTGAAAGTTTTTTTTTTTTTTTTTTGTTTCGATTATTTCTTCCCCCTGATAATATAAATCATCATTGGAAAAAAGCATTTTTGTATTTATTAAGTCTATCTTTCTCTGATAGTTAAATCAAGACATTTAGCAAAGCAACAAAGGTAAAAAAAAAAAATGTGCAATCACAGGATTGGTTTTATCATAGCACTGTATGTTGAGCCTTTAATTGGTTGCTAACTGTAGCCGCTGTGACCTGTAGGTTTATAGAATAGCGCAGGTTAAAGCTTAAATTGTTTGATTTGTGTTAATTTTAGGTGTAGATGTTTCTAGTTGGTTATGTTGTACTAAATGTGAGATGCTTCTAGAACTGTTCTTTTTTCTGTTCCAAAAGGTTTTTCTTTAAAGCTGTCTATTAGTCTTTTTTTATACAAATTACTCCAAGTCAGAACCTATACCTGCAGTAGAACCCGCTTACACAGATGATGATGATGACTGACATTGCAGTCATAATATTTAGCCAAACTATCCTCTGATATCATACAGCCCTTAAAAGTGAACGCTTCACTGTTTGTTCACTGCTTCCAAGCAACATCACTAATATTGATCATCTGATTGTGTCAAAAATACCTCTTGGACCTTTTCACTGTTTTACGGTCGCAACCACAAATATCAGGGTATTTTTATTCTTAAATTAAGCTAAGTTTAACATAAAGGAGTGCAAAACACTGGAGTTAAAGATAACGTATGGATTTCAGAACGATTCATCAGTAGGTTACTAAATGTTTATTGTATCTGAGCCAAACCTCCATTACTACATTTTTATTTTTCTTCAGATTTTTCTAACTGCTTTAAAAAAAGCATTTGACTAAAATCCATACTTTGTTTTCATTTCCCAAAGTTATGCACCAAGTGTTGGTTTATCGAATAAAATCAAATGGAAGTTTTTCAAGTTTGTGGTTAAAACTTTACAAACATTGAACCATCTGAATGTCTCCAAATAGCAGTGATGTATCTAAGAAGTTTATTTTTATTAAAATCCCACGAATAAAAGGCTAAACAGACCTTTTATCATCAGCTTTTTTTTTTAGTATTTGCAGTAACTGTGACGCTGGACACCCAGTGCTGATTTCCCTCGCTGTCTCTAAGTGGGCCAGTGATTAGTCCAGTTTCCATCCCAGTCAGCTGCTTCGTGCAGCGTAGTTAAACTGGGTTTCCTCTGCAGCGATCTGCTTAACAACCAGAGGCTGACCTTCCTCTCTGATGTTCATGCCACAATCTAACACCTTCACCTCCATCTCCCAGCTAACCAGTTCTTCAGGGTTCTCCCTAATCTGGTAGATTATTGTTCAATTTCAAAGAGGTTTCTAAAATGACAACCTTTGTTTTCCTGGGGGAACCCTGACCCACTGCCTTCATCAGTTGCTTTTGAGCTGCTTTGATTGATGCCTTTCAGACCCGGCATTAATTCAAAGCTCTGCCTCTTGTTACTTTAGGGATGATATTTGTTTCTATTTTTTGAAAGCCTGAACATCTCCCCCTGCTGGTTAGGTCCGGTACCGCCGAGAGCATGCGTCCGGTCGCCAGCTGCCCTTCTTCCCCCTGCTGGAGGACCTCATGAGGGACGTTTGTGATGGAGCTGCACTGCTCGCAGTGGTTCATTTCTACTGCCCTGATATCATGAAGCTAGAAGGTAGGAAACACTTGACAGCACCACACTGAATGTAGCATCCATGTGTGATGCTATTTTTATTAGGCGCATATGGCCAAAGGTTCCTCTGTGCCCAGTGTGATGTTTCCAGCCGTGAGGTCATTGAGCTGTATCCTGATCTGACCCGACCCGCTCTCTGCCTCTCTGATCAGATATTTGCCTGAAGGAAGTTCCCTCCATCGCTGATAGTCTGTACAACATCCAGCTGCTGAGAGAGTTTGCCAGCGAATATCTGAATAAAAGCTGCTATCTGACGATGGAGGACATGCTCTATTCACCGCTTGTTCTCAAGGTACCAAACCTGAAGGATTTAGAGTTTCTTTACCAAAACAATCCAGCTGTTTCCCTGCCTTTTGAATGCCAACCCTCCTGTCCATGCTTCTCACTCTCTCTGCAGCACAACGTCATGGTGTTCATCGCTGAACTGTTCTGGTGGTTTGAGACGGTCAAACCAGAGTTTGTTCAACCCAGAGACCTTCAAGAGTTTAAAGATGGTAGGAATCGCATCCAGTCAATCTTACCTCTCAGGAGGAGGGGATTTAATGCAAGGTTTCAGCTCCGCTCAACACGCAGCATTATTTAAAGTTCTAATCATTTACCGTTTTCTGTTTAGCTCGAGCCATAGCTCATCCCAAGAGTGCCCGCCCATCAGTGCCCATCTCTAACGCCACCAAGCGCAGCTTTCTGACCAGTCCTGGCGTGGCAGAGAACCAGAGCAGCCCTGAAGTCTGTAACAGGTACTTCCTGCACCCTGAAGGCTCTGACCCTCTGTAAGTCTTTTCTCATCTTTCTTTACATTCCCCTTATCATCCTCTTTCCAGTTCAGTGTACTTCTGTGTCTAGGGCTGCAACCAATGATTATTTTGCAAATCGATTTATCTGTTCACTATTTTTTCAAATAATCGATTATTAAATGGGTAGCCAAAGGTTCCTTAAAGAAGATTTTTTTATTTAGGAAATTCAACAAGGGGAAACTAAAACATTTCAACTCGACAAGTTCTGGATAGAACATATTGACAGTTGAAAATGTTTTTTCATCTTAAATGCAAAACATTTACATATTTTTTTACAGCTTTGGTATAAGTATTGCTCTAATTTGGTTGCCCTGTCAGTTAAAGGCCTGGTTTAAAGTCTCCATACTCCAGTTAACAATTAATCAATTATTGAATTAGTTGACGATTATTTCAATATATTTTATATTAATATATTATATTAATCAGGATTAATCCAGTTGATTGTTTCAGCCCTATCTGTGTCATTAATTAGATTATCTAAACTCATTCCAGCTGTTAAAATGTTGTCTCTGTTATACCTTGTGAGAAAATTGTTTGTCTTGTTTTTTTTTTTTGTTTTTTTTTTTTTAATTTATTTTTTTGCACTGGAGGTTTTACTGTTTGTGTTTGTTTTGTTTGCTCTCAGTAAAGGGGGTCCCACCTTCAGTCCCTCACACCCACTGCTCCCTCTCAGGCAGAGACAACAGAAGCAGCAAGGTGATGACAGCGGAGGTAAATACAAGACTGTCCTTCCTACACTGTGCAATTTAAAAGAAATAAAACTTATACTATTATTGCATGACAGACTAAATTATGTGCAACTCTTCATCTCTGCCTCCACTTCAAATTTGATGCTTGAACCTCGCACCGTCACTGTTACCTACTAAACAATAAGCGACTTTCCAAGCCTGCACCAGATCAGGGTGACATTTATCTGTGCTGCTTGACATCCATACAAATTACAAAGAGGGAAAATGAATCATGTGTCTGGGGAAAAGAGAGCCAGTTGGGATGCTAGTTTACAGAGAGAAGTTAAGACCAGGTATATCTCAACTTTATGGGCAGTATTAGAAAAATAAACATCAGCCTGCTGAATGTTTATTCATTCATTTACTAATACTAAATTAATGAGTTCTGTAGATTGAAAATGTTTGATCAAACATTTATGTCCTTTAATTAATAAATGAGAAAGTTCCGCAAAATGTCCATTATAAAGCGCATCAAAGTCTGGTAAAAGTGCATAAAGAAATAATCCAAGAGATAGGTTGGGCGGCCGATGATCGCACAGTGCAAATTGGGCATAAGAATGAAGGATCTGGTTCATGTTCTTATTGGACCTTTTTTATTTTTGCTCTAGGTCCAAGAAACCGGTCCAACTCCCTGACACAGATGGACAAACAACAACTCAGAGGATCTGCTGCAACGTGGACCGACAAAAGGCAAAGGTGCTTCACCAAAATACAAGTATTCACAGTACCCTGAAAAAGTATTCACACCCCAAAGAATTTCAATTTTTGCCACATTTTATTGGGTTTTTACATGATTGACCTCCACAAAGAAGCATGCCATTCAGAAATGTAATAACATGCATGCCAATGTGGACATGGAGGCCTCTCCTGGATTATGTGTGAGCTGACATCATCTGGGTACTAATAACTAAAATGTTATAACCTTAGTTTAAGTTAGTGTTTTGTGGCGGCTATCATGGCATGTTAGCTCTGTATAATGAAAAATCTGAATAAATATAAAGGGAGAAAAAATAGTGGAAGGAAAAATTTTCCACTGTACCCCTACAGGAATCTGTGGCCAGTATTTGTCAGTGGTAATCTAAAAAAAAGAGTCCATCTTTTTGTGAATTAAGTCGATGTATTTCTACAGCTGTTCTGTGAAGAACTGGTAAGTTTGTTTTGAAACATTTGCAAAAACAAAACTTGATAGAGATTCAAGATAGCAAACATATGAATGATGAAACCATGGAGATATTTAAAGAAGATTTAGCCGATAACTCCTATAATTCCTCCTATCTGAAGGTAACTGAATGAATGGAATCAAGAACTGGTGGCAAAATTTTAAAATAAAAAATCTTAGGTACAGAACAGTGTTGGCCTAGTGGTTAGAGGAGTGCGCCTGTGCTCTGAGAAGGTTGCAGGTACCCGGTTCGATTCTCCACAGTCTCCACTCTGAGTCTCTGAGCAAAACCCCTGATTGCTCCCCTGCAGCCACTCGATGGCAGCCCACTGCTCCAAAAGGGAGGGTCAGAATGCAATATTTACACATAGTGGGACAATAACGGGATTTACAAGATCTGTTTCTTAATGTTTTGGGTTTTTGTAGATAACATAACATTGAACGTTAAGCAGCTTTTTAATGCAGAGTATTTAAAACCTTGCCTGAATACAGAAAGAGTTCTCCTATTCCCATTACTGGGATTAAATGTTTGTTCAACAGGAAAACCTGTTAAGTTTTGTATTAAAAAGTCAAATCAAATAGATGCTGCCTGTGAGTGTGATAAAGGTTTGACACCACCATCTTGGACTGACTGTCTGACCAGGAAAGTCAACATGGAAATTCACAGTAACATTAGCTGCAGCAGGGGCGGATCTAGAAAAATAATTATGGGGTGGCGAGAGGGGGGCAGGGATTTTTAAGGGGTGGCAACATATGGCGTTTGTTTACACTGAATTTAATCACAGTTATCACAGTTTGGTGAGAATAGTATGTACAGTACTAGTGTTTCATGTGAAACAGTTCATATTAATAATACATCGTACAATGTGATCTCACTTAATAGGAGATAGAAGAATGATAACACTACTTCTAGAGGGGCATTATCACAGGAAAGGTATTAAAGTAAGACACAGGTGCTGAGTCATAGATGTGTGAGATTGACTGTCAGAGAGGCAGCTTTGCAGCATTTGCACAAGAAGAAACTATAGAAAGAAAAAGTTACCTATCAGAGATCTATGGACTAAGCTGGACTAAAGTGAGCATAACTACACAGTAGAAATAAATGGGTCAAGGCACCCAAACAAGGTACCAGACATCTATGTATTGTTTACTCTGAACACACATTTACCACATTTGTTCCTCAGTAACTTGACATACAGCAGTTAAGGCAATATGAAAGGGACATTTCATGCATGTAAATATGCTGTAGATATAGCTGCTGTATCAATAAATCAACAAAAAGGCAGGTACTGTATGTTACATCAAAATCTCCACAAATCTGAAAAGAAGCAACATAAAAATACATTTGGCTTCCAGTCTGAAAAAGTACAAAACATTTTGTGAGAAGGTACATACAAGTCATTTCTGGATAGTTTCATACTATATATACAAAAAAGAAACAACAACACTGCTTCATATTAAGCAGGATTTACACCAATGTCACATTTTTAACTTTACTTTTAACACTTTTGGTTTTATTAAAGGGAATATCAGATTTTCTCAGGTGCCAAAACAAAATGTAACAGGTCTGTAAAGGCTCACCAGAGAGCATAACATAAAGTTGACATGACTATAACAGGTGAATGCAGCGATTTCCATGTTGCTCAGCAAAACGCTTCACAACTTTATTTAGATCCAATGCCTTTGTGCGCTTTGATTTGAGTACAACCAAACTTGATCGTCTCTTTTCTGTCATAGTTGACCGCAAATATTTTTTTATGAGCCTGAGACGTCAGGCCTAACTAGTTAGAGAAATAACGTTCTGCAACCTGATTTTTATCATCTCAAAATCAGCATTGCAGCTATGCTAGCAACATTGTGCTTTCATTATGTTTTAATTTCTCGATAGATAGTTAATCAATTTTTCCCTGTTTCATCCTGTGTCTCCTCTCTCCATGACCCCTGGCTCCCTCACTTTGCCCCATTCGGTTTTCAAAACTAATCAGTCTCAGTCGCTCTCGCGTCATCTCGTGCTGCATTCACTGCAGTCCGACATTGGAAATTAGCGGTCGTAATTCTCAAATGATCCATAATTTATAAGCCTCGCCACCCCTACCGCCAGCTGGGGTGGCAGCAGGGGTGGCAAGGCTGTCATTTAGGGTGGCATTTGCCACCCTATGCCACCCCAGTAGATCCGCCTATGAGCTGCAGACATTCATAGGTGAGACTAGAGACGGCTGGTTATGGGGAAGATGTGCAAGAATACAAAATGGTTCAGAAAACACGGAGGTGGCATCATCATGCTGTGGGAATACTTTTGTTTCCTGTCAGATTTAGAGAAAACAAACTGTTGAGATGAAATAGTTCAGCCTCCAGTAAAGGTAACCATTGGCCTGTAAAGATAAACTGAACATAATAAATGTTCTCCTTTTTTTCAGACCCCTGTCTACGCTCAGCCCCTTCATGCTCCACTCAGCCACTGACAGCGACGCAGACGTGGCCTCTGGTGATAGTGTGAGTCTGGCTCGCTCAATTAGTAAGGACAGCCTGGCGTCCAACATCACCAACATCACGCCCAAACATCAGGGCGCCGTCCAGCAGTCGTCAATCGCTGCCATGAGAAGAATCAACGGCCACAATCTTCTGAGTAATGTCAACATGGAGGACGGGGAAGAAACTTTAGTTGTTTCCAGGACTGATGCCTCCACCATCCCAAAACGGGTGGATACAGCAGGAGCAGGAGCCAAAGCTGCTTCTGAGGGCTTTTACCTGGAACCACTGATGCCTGCTGTCCTGAAAACAGCTAAGGAGAAGTCTGTCTGCCTGAACAAAGAGGAGGAGAGTGGGGAGGGGCCTCGCTCAGCAGGTAGGGGCTCTTTACGCCGAGGAGATGGACCTTCTGCCGCAGTCCGAAGAAAAGCCCCGTCTGATCTCAGCCAGGTTTCTCCTCCAGGCAAGGAAGACATTCTGCCAGAGGAGCAGCGGCAGTCTGATTTCAGACCAGTCCTCACCAGCAGAGAAACGGCTGAAGGTTTCTACCTCCATTCAGATTCTGAGGAACCAAAGAATATCAATGGCCCAGAGGCTGAGCTAGGAGACCTGGATGAGGAGGAAGAAGATCTGGATGAAGCTCTGACCACTAAAGACTCGAACCATCCGAGGAAAGCTTACAGCGACGCTGATGAAGAAGAATCAGCCAAGCTCCAGGAGGACCTGAATGTTAAAGAACATGAAGACAAGGACTTCAATGGAGGCAGTGGACGCTCCAGCCCCTGCCTCAGCACACACTCCCAAGCTAGTAGCATGGCTAGCGGCAGCGTGCGCATGACATCCTTCGCTGAGCGTAAAGCTCAGCAGCAGCGCTTCGGCAGCAATCACGACCTGCGCTCCAGTGCCTCCAGCTCTCAGAGGACCACTCCAGACGGATCAGAGAGCAGCGGGCCCCTGTCCAATTCCTGGAGAATCAAGAGAGATCAGAGCCCGTCGTCTCCCTCAGGGGGATGCTCTCGCCCGGGTGAGGGTGGTACAAATGTGCTGGCCTCTGAAATCGTTCAGCTCCGGATGCAGCTAGAGGAGAAGCGCCGCGCCATCGAGCACCAGAAGAAGAAGATGGAGGTGCTGGCAGCGCGGCAGAGGCAGAAGCTGGGGAAAGCAGCCTTTCTGCACATCGTTAAGAAAGGTGGAGGAAGAAGCGACACGTTACCCAGCTCACTAAAAGCCGACATCTGTAAAGACGAGCTGAATGGGGAGAAAGGACCCTTAAGTAAAGACGATATGTGTGTTGATACCCTGCGGGGGGAGAAGGAGGGGGAGGGCACGGGCCCTCCAGGTGCCTTAGAAGCAGACAAGAAGGGAAACGGTGGAAGCTTTTATCTAGATGAAGAGTTGGACCTGAACGAGTGCAGCCGCTCCATCGAGCTGCTGAACGAGGCCATCGGCAGCATCCAGCAGCAGATGATGCAGCTGTCACTGCAGCAGGAGATGCTGATGAAACAGAATGTACAATCCCCAGCTGGTGCCGCTCCACCACCTCCTCCTCACACAGGGGATAAGAATGGAGACTCAAAGGCAGGAGGAGGCTTTCACTTTGTGGAGCACCTCTCTGGGACCAGCAGCGCTCCAACCAGGAAACCCCCCAAGCTAAGCTCGGGCCGGAGCTCCAGGTCAAAGCCCTCTGAGTTAAAGTTTGCTAAGGACCAGAGCCGACAGGCCCCCAGGACCCCCACGCCTTCTCAAGGGGGATCCGAGACATTCCCAAACCCACGGCAGTTAGCAGGGGGCAGGTCCCCTAGAGCTGAGCAGCCCGGCAGCCCCAAAAGACCCACACCCGCAGAGATCATGGACAGACCGGGATCCGGGCACATCAGGAGCGCCACCTTTCGCCTTCATGACGAGGCCAACATGCGCCTGCCGACCCGCGTAGACCTGACCTCTCTCTCTGCTCCAGAACTGTTGGACGAGTGCCTGCCTGGTTCGCAGAGAGAGGGAGAGCACAGATCGCAAGGGAAAGAGGGCGTGTCTTCAGAAGAGGCGCAGCGCAGCAAAGCCCACCTCATAGAGGTGGATCTGTCTGAGCTGAAGGCCCCCGAGGAAGAGGAGGCATCTGAGGACAGACAGATGGAGGATGGCGATGGAGAGCAGAAGTCTGTCCTGGGCTTCTTCTTTAAGGTAAAGCGGAAAATCTTTCTTTCTTCATGATGGATCATGGAGCATTTGGAAAACATTTTTAGTTCTGGTCTTAATGCAGTGTTCCTAAATGCTTCAAAAAGTAGGAAATGTTTGGTGCTTCCAGGAGGAGCAGGATGGAAAAATACATTCCGTCATTTCATAACTCTTTCCTCTACTACAGTTAAAGGCAGTCAACACTTCAGCAACTACTGAACATCAATGCTGAAGGTTAAATGTGGAAAAAATGCCCAATTTTTAAAGAAAAATTGATGAAATGGTGTATATAATTTTCCATGTTCCAGGATGAGCAGAAAGCCGAAGACGAACTTGCTAAGAAGCGGGCGGCATTCCTGCTGAAACAACAGAAGAAAGCTGAAGAGGCGCGCATCCGCAAACAGCAACTAGAGGCAGAGTCCGAACTAAAACGGGACGAAGCCAGGTAGCTCACTTCCTCAGCGACAGCACAGGTGTCGTATCACTCCACAGAATGCTGAAATGTACGTTTCATTTCGACTAGACGAAAGGCCGAGGAGGAGCGTCTGCGTAAAGAGGAGGAGAAGACGCGAAGGGAGCTAATAAAGCAGGAGTACCTGCGGAGGAAGCAGCAGGAGATGTTAGAGGAGCAAGGCCTGGTGAAACCCAAAACACCCAAACCCAAGCAGAAACACAAACACAAGGCAGTCATCAGAGAGGAATCCAGTGATCATTTCTCCAAGTGCTCTTCCACACGTAAGAAACTTCACCTTTTTTCTCTTTAGCCTGCTTCTGATTCACATCTTTTCTGTCTGCTTTGGTAAAAAGCTTAACAAATGGCTGCATAATTAAATCTTGATGCTCTTATTTGTTGCTTGCAGCTGACAACCTGAGCAACGCCCAGTCAGGCTCCAATCTGTCTCTGGCCTCTGCAGCTACAAACGAAGCCGACAGCGTCAACTCCGGAGGAGCCGGCTCTCAGCGGTAAATTACAAACTGATTGCATTTGTATTTGTAAGCTTGTTAATTGTTGATCTGTTGATTAATGAATTATCTTTTCCTTTTTTTTTTTCTTTCCATGTCCAGCTGTGACTCAGTGGAGTCGTTTCCAGGCAGTCGTAACAACAGCCGAGCCGCAGAGAGAGACTGGGACAACGGCTCCACTGCATCCTCCATCACCTCCATGGCAGAATACACTGGTGAGAAAGAGACTCAGATCTCCTCTGGCTTTAGTTTGTAGTTTCAACAGCTCTGAATTCGTATGGAAAAATTAGGCCAATCTAATCTTTGTTTGGTTTTATTGTTGTTTTTGGTCATTTTTTTTATCTTCATTTTATTCCGATTTATCAGTCTTGTTTTGCTTCCTTATAATGTTATTCTTTTCTTTTTTTCTTTTTTAGGTCCTAAACTATTCAAGGAGCCGAGTGCCAAGTCAAATAAGCCAATCATACATAATGCAATCTCTCACTGCTGCCTGGCAGGGAAAGTCAACGAGCCCCAGAAGAACCAGATCCTGGAGGTCAGTTCTGCAGCTTAGATTAACTGTCCATACACATTTTTCTGGTTATTGCTCCCCTTACCTGTCAGTTGAGGTGAGGCATAGTTAAAGTTTGCTGCTGTTTAATAACTAATCCAGGCATTCCTGGATTGTTTTCCAGCCCAACTCAGCTTTAGATATCTTTACACGACCTGATCTAGAACCTTGCTGCTTTGTTCCTGTTTGTCAGATACTGAATGTAACTGTTTGCACTGGGTTTGACTTATTGATCGAGTGAAGAGAGCTAAACACCGATGAACATCACAGTTTTCCATTCATTTGAAAAGAAAGGGAAGCTTAAAAACATTAAGTGTCATTAAGCAGGACAGTTTAAAAACCAACCAGTATGATCTTTTGGTTTTTCTTCCTTCCAATGTTTTGAACCAGGATTGTTGTCTTCATTAGTTTTATTTTGTCTGTGCTCCGTTATCAGGAGCTGGAGAAATGCGAATCCAACCACCTGATGATCCTGTTTCGTGACGGCGGCTGCCAGTTCCGGGCGCTCTACTCGTACTTCCCTGACACCGAGGAGATCCATAAGCTGACGGGCACCGGACCCAAGAGCATCAGCAAGAAGATGATCGACAAGCTGTACAAGTACAGCTCTGATCGCAAACAGTTCACCGTCATCCCTGCCAAGACGGTGTCAGTCAGCGTGGACGCCTTGACCATCCACAACCACCTGTGGCAGGCCAAGAGAGGTGCTGTGCCAAAGAAAACGGGGAAATAGACTGGTTTTAGATCCATCATCCCGCCTCCCCGCCCAGCACAGTCTGAATATCTACTGTGATGTCACAGTGATAGCTTCAGGTTGATGTTGGTTGTTATGAAGCAAGCATGTGGGAGAACCTCCATTTTGACATGAAATATTTCTTAGTTCAGCGCTGTCATGGTTGAAACCTAAAACCTAACACCCTTCCTCTTCTGGATAATTCAGGCCTTAAGGTGGAGACATTCGTTTGACCCGTTTAGGACCGTTTCTGATTCTACAGGAAGCTGCACCGTCAGGCTGACATCAGTGGTTTGCTGCTCAGAACCATCTTCTTTCTGTCTGACGGGGAGGGCGGTTCTAACCGGTTCTCCTTCTAGTCACATCCATTTGCCTTTCTCATACATCATGGTACTATTAGGTGTTTTTATTCCGCTGCTTTTTAACTGATGGTGTAGCAGCGGGTTTGTGTGTCAGAAATAAAAACGGCTCCGATTATTTTAAGGACCCTTTTATTTGTTAAAACATCCCGTTTTCTGTTTTCTGGATGTTTTGAAGAAGGGGGGTTGTTGACAGGGCTTAAGAAAATAATGCTCTTTATTTTGTTTGTTTTCTTTAGCTTTTTAAAATATTTTTGTCATGGAAGCGTTGTTCCAGTTTACGAAGGCGTTATGTGTTTTTATCATAACGGGATTTCTCTGATGTTTAGAGCTTTGTTGTTTTATTTTCTCTCCACCGGGCACTCCTGAATCATCCTGTACAAAGGTGCACTCATGAATACTTGTCACGGCTTCTTTTCATGCAATGTAACTCCTCTGAGTATTCGTGTCCCGTCTTTATTCACACGGGCGGGGAGGACCCCCTCCTCGTTTCGAAGGGTGCTTCCTGCTCAGCTCCAGTGACAGTATTTGATATCCTCTCGCAAAGGGTTTGTGGTTCAGTTGTGTTCCAACATTAAAGAGCATTCCTCCAAGGTGTTGACAAGCACTGCCACATCGTCTCTTCTTCACTGTCTTGGCGAAACCGTTGAAAATGCTTCTTCTTTTTGTTAAATAAACCATTCGTTGGCCTCGAGAACAACCGGAAGTGTCGCACAAGCACTTTACTATCTGTCGGGTTGCATTAGTTTGTCTTTTAAAAGGGCATTGAAATGACAAACTTGATTGGTAACACTGCTGTTTGGGTAAAAATCCAACACTAAAGATTGAATCCTGATGACTACAAGCTGAAGGGCCTCCACTGAAGCGTTACTACTGCTGTCTCTCCAAAAGCCACTCGATACTTGATGAATCGTTTGCTGCATTTTGATGTCTTTTGGGGGGCGGCCGCAAAGTGGTCTTTAAATGTATGAAAGTATATTTTTATGTTATAACTAAAAGATTGTATTGGCATTTGATCACCTTTTTTTTTGTTACACTAGTGTACTTTTCATCCGTGTTTGATTTTTACCTTTGATCCCATGTCATCTATTTATTTTAAAATGGAAGCACTGAATAAATTTCCCAAGTGAATAAAAGTCACTTTTTTCCATTTCTTTCTTGTTTTTGACCATCACTGTTAATGTTTTTTTTTTTTTTTAGTTTTTCTGGCACCACACTAACTTCACTTTTTTGGTTTGGTTCTTCATGCCACTGCATTTTCTTACTGGGATTTTTGTCAGAAAATTGATGCTGCTTGGTTTTCACAGAGCAAACGGGAAAAATTTATCTAGAGGTATGTAAGTAAAGTCATTAAAACACCTTTTGGACCTCCCCGTGTTCAAACTGCAGCTCACTCTGCTGCCCAACTGGAACCGCGGCTTTAACGCCAGCTTCATAACCATGGTGAGGCGTGATCCTCCTTGGTAACCAATCCTGGTTGTTCAGGCGATGACATAACTATCAAACTCTAAACTGTCCATCCAGAGTCAAACAAAGATCTGCGCTCTGCCAGCTCAGAATGAAGGGTGAGTGATGAGATCTAATGCTGCGGCTGATTTTTGATATAAAATGTGATTGATGCTGTATGCTTCCACAGGTGTGGTGGCTCTCGCTCTGTTGCTGGGAAGTGTTCATCTCAGCCACCCCTGTCAAAAGGTGAAAAATGTTTTGGTCTGCTCGGACGCTCTAACAAGTGAGAACTTTTTTAACTTTGAACCAGTCCAAAATTTAGCAAACTGCCTTCAAACCAGATTAAAAAATGCTTTACTTTGAGAAATTCTGGAGGAACTGGAACTCTTTGAAATTGGCCTTACAGTATCTGATTGGTCAGAGAGGTTTCTGCTGTCAGACACTTTTTATTTGGGAAGATTTTAATGCTGAATAAACAGACCATGGGCATCAAAATGATGGAAGTCAAACCCTAATTTGTTTAATGACTAAAACTTAGCATTCCTTCAGTGCACTGAGCTCTGCTGCTCTTTTTTTCCTGTACAGCTCATCCATAGCATTCCCTCCTCAGTTTAAGCTTTTGTGGTTTAGCCATGAATTCACCTTCAGTTATTTTTCTTTTTCAGCCGCAATGTTATACATCTGCTGCTGTTTGGGATCTTTGTCCTGCTAATTGCTTGGTTTAGGCTGAATCCAAGTTGCCCATTTGACTCTAAAGTATTCTGTAATACAATAAAGAAGACTACAAGCTGCCCAGTATAACAAGCCCTAACCATCAACCCTCCACTACCGTGCCTAACAGTTTGCATGCTGTCTGGTTTCTACCAGATATGGAAAAGTTTATTCTGTCTCTACATTGGTCTCTCCTGCCAGTGGATGTTGTTCCAGACATTTACTGTTAATTTAGAAGCACCTTTGATCGTGTTGTTCTTTTTGTAATTTTAGGGACTCTTTAGGCAATCCATCCAGACTGTGCTTGTTCTGCCTTTTTCCTGTTTTTTTTTTTGTTTTGTTTTTTTGTCATTAAGTTTAACTTAAAAATCTGGACTGCAAAAATGATCTGGATATAAGTAAAACATTTCTTAAATTAAGTGTATTTAGCCTTAATTTGAGCAGGTAATTGAGATGATTTGCCAATAAAATGTGTTTTATTACTCTGAAAACTAGATAATTAGATAATTTGTACTTAAAATAAGACAATGCAATTGTGTTTTTCTTATTTTGAATATAAATTGTATTGTTCCATTGGCAAAGTGTCTCGCCTCCTCGATTCAAGAACAAATGCACTTATTTTAGGAAAAAATGACTTAAGATGTACATTTTCTTCAGTGCGAGGACTGTAGAGCCTTAATGAAGCTCTATTTTAAATATTTTTTTTTTATTATACAGCTCGGTGCTGGATAGATTTTGCTCGTACATTTGTTTCATGGAAAATCAGCAGCTGCCTCAAAAAGTTTTACAGTTTTAAAAGTTCCCTCCCAGCTTTCTCAGATATAATATACAGCTTCAGCTCCTTCTCTAAAGTCCATGTTAATGTATAAAAAAAATTATTAAATGATAAAAGCGTGATTTGAGGTTTGATTTAAATGTTTTTTAAGAACCTGACACAGACCCAGTCATTTTTATTACTCTTCAAACTACAGTGGTCTGCAAAAGTTTGGGCAACCTTGTTAATTTCCATGATTTTCCTTCATAAATCGTTGGTTCTTCGGATAAAAAAAATC